CTTTCTATACCCCCCCCCCCCCCGTAAATCCAGTCTTCGCTAAGAAGATGATGATGGGGGTTCAGTGGGTGAACCGTGAACGCAGAACACATTTCCCTGCTCTTGCAAGTGCGTGCATTAAACTCATAAGGTCTTATCATTTACCCTAATGTAGCTTTACTGCTGAATATCCACAGTGCACGGCAGATTGAAAAGCACCTTTAATGCGGTTTAGGGATGGCGGGGGGAGGCATACCACCATGCTCTGTTTCCCAGGTGGGAATTACAGTGTGGCCAATGGGCAGTGTGGTGAAATAACGTTTTGAGTGAATTAGATGTATTTCTTCTAACCGTTTGAAGAACATTCAATTTACTCTGTGCATATTATAGTATGAGGAGGACTAAATAAGGCATCGTTTTGAATTTTGAAGAGGTCCACAGGATTGTGTGGTGAAAGCTCGAGAGAAGGAAAAGCCTGACTCACGCGGCACAACCGAGGAAGGACCGCTCTTGGAAGTGCACGCATCTGGTTTCAGATCTTAGCTGGTAGGGGTTCGTGAAACGAACAACTGACGTTTCCGCCCGCGGACGTGACAATTGTTTCGCGGCCTCTTTTGTCGGGTCTACGCTAACCGTCTAGAAAACCAGAATGAAAACACGGACGGCCATGAAACCGACATCTCCGTCTTTCCGAGTCGGGTCGGAGATTGCGCCATGCGAACCGAAAACCGTCACGGGTCGTGCCCGTTTCCCGCAAAGCAATTTCCTGCCTTTTAAATAGTAGTCAATTTATTTCTACGCGTTCTGTGCTGCTGATGGTAGGCTGTTAACCTAGTTTTGTCACGGCTCAAGAGCTGCCTGTTATTGGAGAATGATTTCAAGGCAGAAAGGTTTCACAGCAGCTGCTGTGCAGGAAAAATGCGGCCTAGTCATGACCGATTACAGGATAAAACTTCTAACAGTGTGTCTCAACACAAAGTGACAATACCATGAAACGGCAGAGCACTTTCCTCCCCGAGCAATACTTTTTAAATTCCTACGTTTCAGCAGATGAAGTGTTCCAGCCTGCCTTGCGCTTAGTTCCGTGGAGCGGAATCCTCGCCAAGCGTGCCTTGGCGAGACCCATTTGAGTGTTTTTGTCCTGCCCCAGTTGTCGCTAATTGAAATGTAGCGTCTTCATGCGACAAGCCGTATTACACGAACCGCACACACGGAGCGGACAGCGCTGTCTCCCCGAGCCGGCCTGCACGCCGTGATGTGGTGCGTCTGGCACCGCACAGCTAAAGAGAAATGCCCCCCCCCCCCCCCCCCCTTGACCAGGCAATTCCATTAATTGTCATGATTCTGGCCTACGATTCCGTTCGAAGATCATTTTATTTCTGGTGCCAAAACATGGCCGTAGGAGTAACAGGAGTAATAAACAGAAAAAGGTTTGCACATGGAAGAAGGCCTGATGATGCAGGCATTTGTGAGAAGAAACTGGCACTATTTTTACACACGTAGCATGGACAACTGCAGAAAGATTGAAAGTGTGTTTCGAAAAAGGGAAATAACCAGAAAGAGGAAACCCTAATAGAGAATGGCTTGATGACAACATAAGGAATTGGTGCCAGACAGATGTGGCACCACTTGAGCATATTGACACTACAAGACAGAGGAAAGTGGAAACAAATGACGAAATGTGCAGTGGACACCTTCGGGGCTATCTCCCCATGGATTGTGATGATGATGATATAACATGGCTGTATCGAGGTGTGCACTTACGTTTCCATACTTTACCGCTAACATCACAGTGCCGATTGATATCTGAAGCATTCCTGGACCTTGCCCCCCCCCCCATCCCTCCGACCTTCATCAACCCTCACCGACCAGCATGGTCAAGTATGGTCAAATGACTGACATCATCTGATTAGGCCTCCATTCAACAGTGGTTTAGCAAAGGCGGGAGAGGGGGGGGTTGTAAAAACACCCCCCAAATCTACCTCCATGACGGCACAAAATACTGTTTGCAACGCCTGCGTCAGCCAATTGAACAAGTCGTCCCAAGGAGAGCGGGGCGGCGCACAGCGGAGGATGCCACCCGGCCCATCCCAACCCCTCGCGCACACGGCCAAGTGGTGCTGCTGGTGGCGGCAGATTTTTCAGATTATTTTTTTACTACAAATGAAGTGTGAACGTCGCGATTTCATTTCGGGTTGGCATCGCTAAATTTACGTCGGGTTATTTTGGCAAATTGGTTCAATAGCCAAACACAGTCCACACCTCGCCCCGAGCGGCGACAATGGAAACACTGACGACAAGAGCAAAAAAAGGAATAGCGACGCTGCCACCCGTGCGACGTCGCTGCATCGCACGGCGGGGTTGCAGTGGGAGCAGCAGGAGGCGGAATGCTCCATTAGCCTGGCCTACGCGAAGACCACCACAAGCACAAATAGAGACATGCAAGCAGCAATCCCGATATGAATAACAATACTAATACCATTCAAGAGACTGCCAATGTGAAATAGGCCTCGGAGTGAACGGATATAATTGGCGAATGTTGTACTCGATTGCATAGAGCCTTTGTGATGAAGCATTAGGTTGGAAGGCCAAACGCGGGTGACCTCGTCCAATATTATGATTCACAATGGTTCTTAACGACACACTTGGTGACGTCGCCACGTGGCCTTGCACAGACGTCTATTACGAATCCGTTGCACTGTAAATAAAACTCAAAAGAGGTGAGAATGGGACCAGATGAACTCCGAATGCAGCTCATGCATTCAGTTTTCAACGTGCTATGAAGAAGGGCCATTAACCGAAACGTCGCCTATCATATATTTATCCTTTTAAGGCCACGGTGTTATTGATGAATGCGATGTTGTTGGGGGGGGGGGGATAATTTGAAATGTGTTTATTATTGTGTCGCTTGAAATGGCTACACAAATCACAGCGTACTGTATGCGTGTCCTAATTGCGCTGCCATAAGCCGTAAAATATATTTCCTGCAACAACGTCTGGAACACGTGACGTGAATGAAGGGTGCGGCGTAGTGGGAGAAAGTGGTGTGTGTGTGTGTGTGTGCACGCGCATGTGGGTGTGTGCGTGCGCGCCTGCCTTCTATTTCTGCAGGTTGTTATCGCGTGTCGTATCGATGAGACAACGGATTTCTTAAAATACTGAATTTGTTCCGCTGCGCGTTGTGCCCTTTCAAATGCAACGAAGCTGTGAATAAGCAGCCTGGAGTTGGGGTGCAGACCTGAGAGAGAAAATAGATCATTTCTATTAATTGCAGTCATCACCTCCATTTTCCGCGCGTTAAGGCCACCACAGGTTCCCTAAACGAATTGTGTATTTTTAAATTACCCTAATGACCAGCACAGGGTGTGTAACATACCAAAGGTGGTGGGAAAACACAATTTATGGAGATTAGCCCTTAACCTTCGTACAGACAGTGAACTTAACTTGAATGTGCTTCAGTCCTCCTCACCATCAGCCATCGTCAATCCACTGCTAGATGAGGGCCTCCCCCAAGCTTCTGCCATCCTAGCACCTACACACAAGCTGATTTCATTGCTCCTTCTCCTTGGTCTACCGCCCATGGAATGCGTTCCACTCCTTGGCTCCCGCTCCCTAGCTTGCGCTGTCAGAAATAATAAATATTACATTAAAACCCGCCACATTCATCATTCGCATGGAAGTAAAAAAAAACGCATAGGCTGGCGTTTAGATCAATGGGTCCTTCTGCAGAGGAGAGAGCAAAAGCAGTGGTTGAGTGACCGACGGTTGTAAGAGTTGCTCTATGGTTGTGGGGCCATAGAAATCCTGGGACATTTCAGGAAAGTTGACCAGTGAACAATTTTTATTTGACGTATTAAGCGATTTTATTTTAGTAGACACTACCAATCCAAACCCTTCCAAAGCCCAAAATATACGTTTACATTCAGTTTTCACACGTAGGCTTTCGCGACCAATATTATCCGTAATAGAGGTTTTGTCGAGTTTAAGGACTCCATTTATATTTACACGATCTAACCCAGAACCCTATATTATGGATACGTTTAAATTGTCACTCCTCCTCTCACTATGGCCATGGTTACCATTTCCATGAACTTCATTCGTTGATTTCTTTACCCGGTTTGAGGACTCGGTCTACCACACTGAATATTTCATCTCATCCTCATTTGAAATTCCCTCACGTCGTTAATTTTCCCTGATTCTTACCATCTTGATCAATTCAACAAACATTAACTTGTCTATTTTGCCTTTAGTCGTGCTATTGGTTGCTGACCGCTGGACATTTTGAGCATATTTATATTCCAAGGAAGGGCATTTACAAAAGGTGAAGTGATTGGACTCTTCTGACAAAAACCACGAGGGAAAACGTTGTGTGACTGTAGACCCAAGGTAAATATTACAGTAACGTTTATATTGAAATAGCTTTCACCGAATTGCAGGTTTGCAATGTGAGAAGGTCGTTGAGTTATACAATTAGTGGCCAATATTTCCCACAATTGTTAAGCGAATGTGAATAGGAAGTAAATGATTAGAAACACATTACATTGGAGTTCCAACGCGGCTGTGTGGCTCATGGGATGTGTAAAAACAAACTTTATTTTTTACGTGGTGGGATGGACACGAAAGAGGTGAATTGTCCACTTGATAATTGTGTTCCTTAAATGCTTCACTACGACACCAGCTACAGATAATTGGCATACAATCAGGGGTGAAACCAAACGAACCTGAGCGCGAATGTCGTTGTGCCTCTGCGCACCGCTGCCAACACAGTCCCCCCTTTTTTCCCGTTTAAAAAAATGAAATTCGGGTCAGAGTTCAATTGTGCTATGACCACAAATAAACGTAATTCAAGCCTCATCCTTTTTAAAATGGTTTCCAGCTACCGCGCGCAGTGCGATGTGTAAAAGGCAAGTCGTGAAAAAGGTGAAGCGATGTTTGTTTAAATTTGTCAGCATAAGTGAGTTTTTAATTTAATAATCTGGGTCCGCTGCCCACTTCCTCCCCCCCCCCCCGGACCCGTCCAGATCTGAAAAAGACGCTGGCTGTGCTGCTGGATAATATACTTCAGCGCGTCGGGAAGCTGGAGGCCAAGGTAGACTTCCTGTACAATGGGACACGGACCAACGCATCCAACACCAACCACTCGGGACTGCTTGGCACCACACTGGCCAGCAGCGACAGCAGGGTCAACGCTGCAGGTGGGTGTCGACACACACGGTGGTACTACTCGGTGTGCGTGTGTGCCGTGTGTGTGGGGAGCGGTAGTGTAGCGGTTAGACACTGTGCTACAAACCTGGTGACCCGCTATCGATTCCCGCTCACGGCCAACACCAGTGGCGATTATCAGAACCGGTCCTCGGCCTCCCCTAGGTTAACTCAGCCTCAAATAAGTACCTGGTGCGGTGTGTTAACATTGCCACTGTGGAGACAAAGGTCATGTTTCTGGCAGCCCATCTCTTCGTATACCGTGCTGGTCTTAATAGGTGCTTGCTAACAGCACTTGTCCCAACAGTCTTGAGGCTATACCGGGGATCTTGTCTGTTTTGTTTTTCCCGGAGAATGTGTGTGCGTGTAGTCATTGTTTTGCATGTATCTGTTAGAGTTTTGTGTGGGTTGATGTTAGGTGGTGTTGGATTGGTGGGCTGTTGGGATGGTGGGTGGTGGTGATGGTTGGGTGAGTTGGGGTTAGGGGTTATGGTTGTGGGTAGGTTGTTGGCAGGGTGGGCCTGACCTGACTGTCGTTTGTCTTGTCGTATTCGTCTGGACTTCCTTGGGACTCTGCAGGTGCTGGGATTCTCTGTCGGTCGTCTCCCTCTGCCGTTGATTTTGGTGCAATTTTTTGTTCCTGTTTTCTAAGCCTTTATCTCTTCTTCCCCTCTTGTTCGCTCTGATGTCTTTTGTATTTCCTTTGTGTTTGGAGGCCTCCGAGATGCCGTTGCATATAAGCGAAGAGTAAATGCAAATATTTTGTTACTTACCCCACAGGTACTCTGCCAATGTAAGTGTGTATGTTGAACTTCTTTTGCACACCGCACGTAGCCAACCGTGTTCATCGGAGGTGCGGGACCAATGACACCAGGTTTAACTCCTGGCCGTGATCTTCAATGGCATCTGTACCCAGTGCGGGTCCTACTTATATTCAATCTGTCAAAAATACAATTTGTGATATGGAGTGCCATCATGGGGAATGGAAAATGGAATGAGCGTGAGCATAATGATCGTCTTAGTGCCCATTGTGCTCTGTTGCTTTTAATAGGAGCTCGCCAACAGCGCTTGCGTCCAAGACATAAATGTTAAACACGGCCGTGCCCGCAGTCTGAACTTTCAAACGTCTCCACTGTAATGAATTGGGTTACATTAAATAAAGCTTTGGGGTGTATGTAGTTTCTAAAGAGGGGAAAAACAAATTGAACCAATTCGCGGGCTACTGTCACGTGTTTACGCTCGCTGTCGGGGGAAATTGGACGTCCGATGTGGCGATTGCAAAGGTGGCGCTTTGCGGCGGCGGCGTGCGTGCCGCCAAGCGGGATGGCTCGCAAACGCTCTCCTGTGCGCCGTAGTCCTCGCCGCCTCCAGGGCTATCGTTGGGTTGCCATGCTCCGCGCACTTGGATGTGATTGTGACTTGCGCATGGCCTTAAGACTTTTCAAAACCTGCTTTGTTACAATTGAAACGCAGGGTTGACAGGTGACCACAGTGGATTTGAAGTCGATGCTCATTTCCATCTTTTTTTGCGTGAAGACGCTGATTGTTATGGAGTATTTGGCTTATTTATACTTTGCCGTGCGCATGTAAAAAATACTTTCAGCTCATTTTTATTACTATGGCTGCATGCATGAAATACTGAATTGCCCAGCAGCACAGTGCCAATAAGTTTGGTGAATGCTGTTGGGAAATCTGATGCCAACAACATAGTTCATTGCCCCTAAAGTGTAACAATTAGTAATGATTGAAACCTTTGCATTTGTAACATCTTTCTAAATTCTTGAGTGGTATTTTATTATTATTATCATGAAAATAATAAACTCCTCGGCCTTTTATAATCTGTTAGCTTATGAAGCAGAGATATGTTTTTAGATTGGATGAAATTATTGTTTTTCTCCAAATTATAAACTCGATGCAGACAAATTACTGGCACCAGCAAACATAATTAGTGGGTACTTTTTTTCAATTACAGCAACAAGCAAATGTGGGATTTAAAGCCAATGTGCTGGACTGACGCATCTCTGAAACGCCAAAGCCCTAATCTCTTGCCACTTGATGGGTTGTGGTGTCTGCTGTAGCACGGAGAAAAGCATGTGATGAGCTCCAACACCCGGTCACCCACCCCGATTTAATTCACGCTGAGTCTGATTTAATGCCCCCAGCTGTGCTTCTGCATGTTAGATTGTCCAGTGGCACGCTGCTGGGATGGGAACAAATGGTGCGTTCTCACAGGTATCTCCTACTCATTCCCGGAACGTTCCTGAAACGGCCCAGGACATCTTGCTTCTTGTTCCAAAGCGGTGGGCTCGGCGGGCTCGAGCCCTCCCCTCCATACTCCCACCACCCCCCCTCCTTTCCCTCTGCATCCAGAGAGTGGCGTTTATATTTTTGTTTGCATTATTCACAAGGTTTTTTAACTCGTGGCCTGGGTAGGTTTACCCTGCCCCAAATCAAACATAGACTTGCGTTACGTTGCTCATTTTCCACCACGGTTTTTTTTTTGCGCTCATGAGAATGCAGCCCAGAAGTTACCTGGGATGAAAGCGGCCGGGGGGTGGGGGGGGTTTGGGCGTAGTCTGCTTGTCAAGCGGAGCGACCACGTAGGCCGGGCTGTGCAGCCTGGGAGCAGTTTGCAAGCTGCCGTGAGAATCTATACTGGGCGGGCTATTGCGTGCTCATGGGGGACACAGCTGCAGGAGAGAATATTTCAGAATATCTGTGTTTTGCTATCTCAACCGCCTTCCTCTGCAAAAGCGAAGCCACGGTAATGAGAACTATGGCACCGTGTGCTGGTTTTAGGAGTTCTATCCCCCCCGCATGAGATCCCGACGCATAATCCATGGTGTTGGTGGTATCAGTTTTCTCGCCATTGCTACCAAATTTGTCCCAATTATTTTATTTCAGCAGTTTTTGGAGGATTTTAAGTTTTTAACTTGAAAGAACGGTCCAATTTAAAGCCTTGTTAATAAGGACAATTTTTTTAAGTTGTGGAGAATTTTTGTGTTAATGATTATTTGATGTTCAATTTGACCCACTTAAAAAATAGAATTACTTGCGTAAACATTTCAAGCAACGTCTTAGGTACAAAAAAATACACCGTTAACCTAATCACGTGTCATATTTTCCACAAACGGGGACTATTTGCACGGAACTAATATATTTTCACAAAATATAATTTAATTCGTGACCAAATTAATCATTAATTAGTTTTATGTCCCTTGGTTTCATGATAGCATGGTTTATTTTTATATCAGATGTGCCATTTCCTTTAGGTGACGCCAATCGCTCAATGAGCACGCGGACAGGCAGGGGTCTACAAATAATATAAATAAAAAATCATCGCGTTTGGGGGGGCAATTAATTCATAAAAAATCCGCAAACCTCTTGATTGTGCCTCATGATGGTGATGGCTATATTACAGCTTTAATTACATAACACAATTGCACCACTGCATTGATTATAATTAATTGTGCAACGATGTATAAACCTTACACGTAAAATAATGACGACTGTGCTTAACACGGTTAATACAAAATAAAGGTTTATTATTGTGCTGCTGTGCAGTATTCATACAGAAAACTAAATCTTTCATTGTTATCGAACTTTGCACATTTTTTCTGCATTTCAGTAGAAAAGTGCATTCTCATCTTAAGCACAAAAAGCTTTAAATTAACATTTTGACTTAACTTTTGTGACTGCAGGAATTCATATTCTTTGGTTCTTTCGGTAAAGTCACGGAGATTAAAAAAAAAGTGAATAAAAATATCACGACGTTTCGATCGCAGCACAAGTGGTCGTCATCAGGAAAAGGGGTTAGCCTTTAAAGGCAAACTGTTAATAAAGGTTTGGAGATGGGCGTAGCCCAAGTGTGTCAGCAGCACCAGCAGCATGGGCGGAGGCAACAATGCCAATGCAGCAGCAATGCCAATGCAGCAGCAATGCCAATGCAGCAGCAATGCCAATGCAGCAGCAATGCCAATGCAGCAGCAATGCCAATGCAACAGCAATGCCAATGCAACAGCAATGCCAATGCAACAGCAATGCCAATGCAGCAGCAATGCCAATGCAGCAGCAATGCCAATGCAGCAGCAATGCCAATGCAGCAGCAATGCCAATGCAACAGCAATGCCTATGCGGCAGCAATGCCAATGCGGCAGCAATGCCAATGCGGCAGCAATGCCAATGCAGCAGCAATGCCAATGCAGCAGCAATGCCAATGCAGCAGCAATGCCAATGCAGCAGCAATGCCAATGCAGCAGCAATGCCAATGCAGCAGCAATGCCAATGCGGCAAAGGGCCGCCAGGAAATAACTGCACCCCGCTCCACACACCACACTGGAGGTTGATTGACAATAAAACAAGTCCAGTCATGACCCAAAGTGGTTGATGACATCTTTCCAATGATTGCTGAGTCTATAACCTTCCTCTCGATTGAAATTGTGTCTGTGTCTGTATACATGGGTGGCTTCATGAACAAATCTTTGTTGATAGCCAGTAGGCTTGCAAAGTACCATCGTCTTAACATATTATGGTACAATAAAAATACTTAAATGGTCACCGCTCTGGAGTGTAGTACAGGAATACCTTGCACTTTCATCTGGTTAGGGACCAGAGCATGGACGAATGTCAAAGCAGAGCCTTTATTTAGCAGGCATATTTATTTTGGTCGGTGAAAAAAGTACATGCAAATAACTACAGTAAATATAAAAAACATACGTGCAAATAATTACAGTAACTATATAACACGTGCGTGCGAAACCTAAATAAACAGATATAAAAGAAAAATAAACATGAGAAGAATAAACATAAATAAGCAAATAAATAAATAAACAGACGGATACCCTGAAATATTTGCATTCTTGCGTAAGTTGACGATGAATACATTGGAAAATAACTATGAACGCTGTTGTATTATAGTGTTATCACAAAAATAACTATGAATTGCTTACAGTATAATCACAGAAATAAGTACAGTGTTAATAATATCTGAATAAGCACAAATATAAGAGACACTCGCTGAACGACGATGGCGCACGGCGTGAACGTCGTGGGCGGTTTGGGATGAAATAGGATGAAAGAGGAAAGCGCGTGGACGAAATTTGAAATGTCGTTATAATTGAAAACGGCCGAAAGAGCGAAGCGACGAAAGTCAAGGTATTGTTGTACACTAATTGGGAATTGGCACCAAATTTGCAGGTCACAACACCTGACAGCCTGAGTAATAGGTTTTTACCCTTTTAGCTGGCACAAAAACTGCCACCTTTATACAAGGGATCATGTTTGCAATAACCACAACACAGCCAGTCAAAAATGCAAACAATGATATGCACTAAATTTCGATTTAAAGCTTTCGTGACTGCAAGGATTCATCTTCTTTGGTTCTTTCGGTAAAGTCACGTAGAATGAGAATAAAATGATATGCACTGTCCTTGAATTTGATTGGTCCACACCCCTAGACGGCTTTTCTTAGAGCCTAGTCTCCACTGGTGTTGGACCAGATGACAACATGAGGCGTACAACTCAAAAAACAGCGCACTATCAGGGTATTGAGAGCTCGGGGTAAGCCTTTACATTATGAGACCTCCTTTGCCAGCAACAAGATATAGTCAGCTAAAAGGGTAAAAACCTATTACTATATCTTGTTACTGGCAAAGGAGGTCTCATAATGTGAAACCTGACAGCCTCATTGCACGTACGTACGTATATATTGTGTATGTGTGTATGTTGAACTTCATTCGCACCGTACATAGTTAATCGGAGGTGCGCACGAGATAAAAAAAAAATGTGAAAAAATGCGCGGCTTATTTGTGCATCACTACATTCGGGGAATGGGGTCGACTCGTATGCTAATGAGCGGCTCGTGACCTCGCGGGGTCACAGGGTCACGGGGCTGCGCGGCAGATTACCGGGTAGTGCAAACGCGACTTGTTTTGCGTGCAGCCTCAGCGCCGCGGTGGTGAGGTTTTTCTTTTTAGCGCAATGAGAGTCGCTCAAAAAGAAGCGGTGACTGGCTCTGACTTCCATTCCATCGCAGTCATAATTATTATAATTGATTTTCAAAATTACATTGCACAAGCTGATGCGGCAGTTGCCAAGGCATTTGGCATACTTGCTGGAATGTTTAATTGATTGAAATATTTATTCTGGTTCTATTACACAGTGGCTATTTTAAAACAACGCATGCTAATGAATGTACAGCTGAAGTAGCATTTTGGCAGAGATTGGGTCATACATTATTCATTAGGAATAAAGCGTGGAATGTTTGCATATATTAATGTTAAGTACAGAAACACTGTTTGCCTGAACGTGTGTGTGCGCGAGCATATGGGGAGCGGTCTTGCAGTGGTGAGCGCGCTGTGTTACGAACCCGGCAACCCGAGTTTGATTCCCACTCGCAACCAACATTGGTGACTAACATCAGAACCGGTCCTGGGCCTCCCCGAGATCGATTCAGTCTTAAATGAGTACCTGGTGCGGTGTGTAAACATCGCCATGAGGGAGACAAAGGCGGCCGGGCGTGGTGCTGCACACTCACCCCCTCGTGTGCCGTGTCGGCCTTCAAAGGACGCTCGCTTAAAGCACTTGCCCCAATGGTCTAATAAGGCTACAAGAGGATGTTTTTTCGTGTGCGCTAGCGTATGCGCGTGTGTGCGCATGGGTCAATGTGTGTGCATGCTATAGCATAGCACAGTCATTGGAACAACATGCAAGCTCCCTCAGCCTTGAATTGCTCCCCGCTCGGTGCACGGCAAGCTTCATTTGTCGCCGCTGCCGTCGCTGAGGTGCATGTTTTTTGTGGCAAACAGTTTGTGTGTGCGTGCGTGCGTGCGTGTGCGTGCGTGCATAGGCCTGATAAACGGGGTGCAGGAAGAGTGCAAGCTGCAATCCTTGGACGACTTTCCACACTGTGAAACCAAACTCCAGGTATGCAAATGATGTAGCTCGCCGCTTTCCCCCTCCGCTTATCACCATATACCCCCCTTTGTACTACCCCCTGCCTTCCCAATTTCCTTCGGCGTCTGTGCAAGTGCCATTATTTTAAAGAAAGCCATTTCAGGGAAATGGCACCTGTTGACTTTTTTTCTTCTGTGTGCTATTTTTGAATGTTGGGTTTTGTGTTCACGCTTGCATGATTGTGGTCACGCTTCCTTAGTTCCAAAAGCTGGCGTGTCTTGATTGGCTGCTGCTTGTAATACGCACCAACACAATGAAGGAAACTAGAACATTATAAGACATCTTTATTTTCTTGTCAACGTTAATTGTATTTTTCTTCACGAGAGCAGCACCATTTTTTGCATATGTAGCGCATAACTGGGATGGAGCAGTGGTGCATCGGTTAGCGCACTGCACTGTGAACTCAGCCCTGCCAAACATGAGTGGCAAGTGATATTTGAACCAGTCCTGGGCACCAGCCCCCACTGCCTCTCCTCACCAATGCTCACAACTGAAGTACGGTACAATAATCCCGATGACTGACGTGACATTTGGTGGCCTTCCTCCTCCAGCAGTGGCTTGACAAGGAGCTGTACATTATAATAATGACTACATTACCGGACACGGCACACACAAATTAATTTGTTGAGCAGTTTTAATGCGGGAGGAAAAAATACGATCGTAAACCTTTTCACCAAGAGTAAGCGGCACACCCCGCGCAGGGCTTGCAGGCCGTCGGTGCACGCGGGCTCCGGACGTGTGCTGTTTTGCGAAATAAGATCGTGGAAGTGTTCAAAGGAGAGCCGTGTACAATGTGGACTCGTATTTAATTTTGCATTGATGTTATTCCAACGCACGCATATATATGGGATAGTATAGCGTTGTGTACTTTAATGACACCTTGGCTCTTATGATTTACTGTTTACAGACACTTGTTCACCACGTACCGTTTCGTGAGACTCCACCTGCGGCCGTGCGTGACGTTGGCCGAGCAGCAAAGTAATGGAAATTCAGCTGACCAGATAAAATTCGATAAAGTGTGACGGAAGCTTCTACTTTCATGCTCTCAAAAAAATTAATCCCACCTCGGCAAAACCACAATAATATTAATAATAATAAAAACTCTTGTTGGCTTTTTCCATTTGCTAATGAATAAAAATGAGTAAACGTTTACACTGACATTTATCAGAAAAATGCAGCCGCACGAACAATGCATTGACACTTTTAGTTTTGGCATCGTCTTAACGCTGTGCTGTCGTCACGATGACACAGGGCCCACATCACCGGGCGTTTGTCGATGTTGGGGCATTTAAATCGACGCCTCCACTTCTGTCGCTCGGTCGAATTCCGGTGCATTGAGATGGCCTGCGGGCGAAAGCTCGCCCCCCGTGTCTCCTCACCTCTCCGGCGAGCTTTCTTCGCCAACTTCTCCGTGCCGTGTCTTCCCGTTGGCAGTGGATGAAGGACATGTGGCAGTCGGACACGTGCTACGGCAGCTTTGGCGTCGACGGCTCGCTGTGCTCCTTCATCATCTACCTGAGCGAGGTGCGTGATCTCTGGTCTGCGGAGTTTTTGCCCTGCCCGGCCCGGCCCGGCTCGGTGACGTGACCTTCCCCGGCCTCCGCGCCTTCTAAAACAACAATTATAACGTTCAAACCTCGTCAACCGTCGACCGCTATCTTTAAGCGCACCCTAAAGGGTCATGATGTAATTTGTAGGGCAGAGATGGTTACAACGAGTGTCTCCTGCCCTGGAGAGGAGGTGTGTAAGCCCAATGATGACATGTCGTGAGTCTGGATCACGACTCGATTAAAACAAATCTATAATTATCTGTCCTGTGTTTACCGTTTGGCTTGTATTGTTTCTCATGTTAGATGTCTTTTATGTGCATTTATCTGCCCTTCTGCTCCAAATGTAACATGAGCATATGTCGTAAATAATAGATTGTGGCACACTTGATTCGATTGTGCGCACCGCCCATCCATCCATCGGCGTTCGCCGAGCTCCTCTGTTGGCACTGCGCTTGCACCTGCGGAGTCGCCGGTTGCAGGAGCCAAGACTCTGCGCAAGGTGTGCACTGAAGCTTTGATTAAAGTAGACTGTTTGGAAGTCAGAGCGCTGAGCTGGTAACGCTGAGATTTGGGGCTTGAACACAGGCCTCTTGATCAAACGAGACGTAAAAAAATATAAATATATTGTTACGCTCGCGAATAAATGAGGATGTGCGGTGGCCATGTGACCCACAGCTGCGTTCTCCCGTTGCACCGACACTGCCGAGGCCCTGCGATTGATCCCGCGCGCCAGGCCGAACAAGATGCAGATGCTTGCATCTGTATCTTGTCTCAGTTTTTTACCGCTGCAGAAAATTACGTCATCTTATAGACCGCAAAGAGAGAGAACATCTCCCCAAAAACAGTAATTTTGACTTATTTTTTACATTTAATTAAGTGACCATCAGGTTGATGAGGCTCGTTCGCTGGATAGTGAAGAGATGGCAACGATTTGTGGTGGCCTTCATCCAGCAGTGGATTCATCACGGCTGATTAATGCCGAGAATAACCGGCAGCGAAATGTCATGGAGGTTTGAGGACGATCTGGTGACTCACTCAATAATGAACAAAGAACACTTTTTTGTACGAGTTGTGTGCATCAGCTCACAGCCATTGCGCTGTCGGCTGATTCGCGTGTGGAAAAGGATGCTGTAAAAAGAGCTGAATATAAATAGTATATATAATATCGTGCCAACCATGGGGTAACACTTTCTCTCTCACAGTGCTTCTCTAAATTAAAACGCTTGTGTCAACACCACCTTCATCCCCAGGAGATAATCATTCACTGTACGGCAGTTAATGAGAATATAAGCAACCCCATGCTCTTAATGAATTAAATTATTGAACAAAATTTGCATTTTCCTAATTACCTCAAGAGTCGTTCAGTGTAAAACGGCGAGGTGGAAGAGCGGCGAAAGATGATGGTGACGAACGCGGCCCGCTTCTTGGCTTCCGTTGTTTATTTCCGAGAGCGATCATTAAGAAAGCAGACGGACCGCAAATAGGTAAATATATTCATCAGCATGGCTGCAGAAATAATTGCTAGTTTTGAGATTTTCTCGAGGTAAATATTTGTTTAGTTTTTTTTTGTTTGGACAGTTTATATCTGGGACGAAGGTCGGTTGTGGTGACTGTATTGTGTTATGGGCTTCATGGCAGAATGTCGTGCGATTTTTCTGATAGTCGTGAGTGGGGGTGTAAAGTGTGCAATCGTAGGATGGTTATTGAATTACCCACGAGAATGCGTGTGGGGGTGTGTGTGTGTGGCCAAGGGATGGCTCACTATTGCTCAACCACGTTATGTATGCCGATGATTTGGTAATAGCTGTTCATTCAGAGGAGAAGTTGGAGACGCTGCTGCTGAGACTGGAGCGTGCCACTAAGAGATGGGGCCTTACCATCAGCCCCACCAAAACTAAGCACCTGCCTGGGTATTTTGTACCATCGGACACTCCACCCCCACAACTCCCAATCGGTGATGGGGCAGTTGTGGAGAAAGTAGAGAGTTTCCCATACCTGGGCAGTGTGCTCATGACCGGCTCCAGTTTAACAGCAGAGGTCTCGCTCTGAATCAGTCGAGCGGCATTATCGTCGGTTGCATAATGCTGTGTGGAAGCTACCTGGACTGTCGCTCCGCACTAAGCTTCAGGTCTTCTCGGCCACGGTCATTCCCTCCCTTCTCTACGCTTGCGAAACGTGGACCCCCCTAATGGAACATCTTCGCCGGTTAGAAACATTTAGGCTAGCCTGCCTACGATCCATCGTGGGTTTAACCAGGCTGGATTGTGTGAGGAGCTCACAAATCTTAGAAAGATCTGGGCAAAGTCCCATCGGTGAGCTCCTCCGGCAGGCAAGGCTGCGTTGGCTGGGTCATGTAGCCCGCATGCCGAGCCACCGCGTGCCGAAACAGCTTTTGTTCGGCCGGATCGAGGGGGCTAAACGGGCGCGGCACGGGCTAGAGAAGAGATGGAGTGATGTGGTACAGGAGGACGTGGATCTGAGTGGACTTGCCGATGACTGGTACCAAGCCGTGTCAAGATCGGCCTCTGTGGAGGAGGCTTGTGAAGGACGCTACTGGGCAGTTGGAGGCAGTCGCCCTCCAACAACAATGGAGGGCGGAGGAGCGACGCTCACAACAACGAGCGGAGCGCCGGGTGGCTAAAGCGCAACAGGTTGGCACAGTAGGGGGCACAGGTGGTGCATCAGCCAGTCATCTCAGTCAGTCGACCCGTGGCACTTGGGTCTGCCCCGTGATCTCCTGCCAGCGAGCGTTCGACACTTTACGTGGCCTCAAGGTGCACATGGCCTGGCACAAGCGTCGTGGTGACATCACCACCACTTAGTGGCGAATGGCGGTTGTTGAGTGTGGCTTTTTTCCCAGCGTGCTCAGAAATAGCAGCTCGTACCTTGGGCCTACAGACATTGCAGTGTTATGAGGAATAGCCACTTGTACTATCATGTGAAAAGGTGTGCAGTGTTGAGACACATTAATCTCTTCTGCGCTAATGATCCTTAGACACAAGCGCACTTATCCTAGACACCTTGCGTGCCCGTATTTACCGTCTATATTGGATTTTTTTCTTGCAGTCAAGTTCGACTGCAAGAAAATTACTGACTTTGTGGGACAGTTATACATTTTACTTAAACCAAAAATATAATTTGACGTCTCCTTAAATTGATTTGGTGTCGGAGATATTTCTCGCCCCTGAACGCAAACTTGTGTTGATGCTTATTATGCGATTGCGGGATTTAATCATCGGCCCCCAAATGAGTGGCTGCATGGATAATTGTATCCCTGCATGCAGTCTTGCCCCTTTCCCACACAACAAAAGGCACGCTTCACGAGGAACCGTGTCTAATTAAATCCATACGTTTCATAGTAGGAATGTTGTTTTGTCAGTGTGTGCTCTCCGCAGTAAATTCAATGATTTTACACCTATCCAGTCCATCAAGGATAATTGGCAGTGCATTCTCACATTTTACCAATTGCATTTCTTCCTTTCTTCTTTGGGCTTGTCATACACTGTCCGGTTTGTGTTAAAAGGAACACATTATTTCTGTGAAGAGAGGAAAGCAAAGCAATCCTTGGTATAAAATACATAATTTAGTTTATTCATACTTCAGTCAAAACTTGCACTATTATCACCACCACCACCACGAAGGTCTAGCTCATAGCTACCATTGTCCTTAACATCATCAAGACAATCATTGAAATCGTCATCGTAATTCCCACCGTTGTCTTTATCATGATCATCTTCCCATTGACGCCCAGAGTGTATCATTCAAGTGAGACATCCTCATCATCAGAACTTCTATCGTTCACCCGCATCGATGTTTGCAATCGCAACATTGTACTTGGCACCGCGGCGTGTGTGCCAATGCGGAGGACTGCCGCGCGTCCATCGCGGGGGCTCGGTGCAATGGCTCTGTATCGACACCGCCGCTCACAACCTCGCCACCCCCCCCCCCCCCTCCCTTATGGCATCGCACCGCTCGCCACGTCTCCACGTGGTTTTGCTCATGTACTGCAGACTCGTTCTCCGTCGCGCGCAACCTCGCTCCGTTTCCCCCGCCCCCCCCCGCACATTTAGTTTGCGTCTGCATTTGTTCCGGAGGAGCTCGGGGCGTCCTCAGCGTTTGCCGTAAGGTGACGCCGCATTTTTCTTTGTCTCAGAAATTAAAAACCGCGCAAGTTAGGGTTAATTCTGTTGCGAGCTCTCACAGATAATGTGCCCACTATTCATGCCGCCTGGCCGCTGCTGGTGCCCCCCCCCCCCCCCCACCTGCAAGTTCCACCTCCAACACTTCAGCCCGTTGTCTGCTGCTCGATGTTTCACCACCACGCTCCCAGTTGCCACCTCCGTGCGTCAGTGCCCAATTTCCATCGTTTCCCCGAGGAGTTACTGGCTGCCGTGGCTTCCACGCCTGCCTTTTTTCTCTCTCTCTCTCCCTCCCTTTTTTTGTAACTTATTGATCAACGAGCTCGGTAATAAAATAAATCGAAATCCTTTCATCTTGAATCCAACGCCAAGATTGATTGCCCTTGTAAAATAGACATTGATCCTTTTTTTAAACAGCCCAACACCTACTTATTTTTAAATAAGGTTTTCGTTAGCCCTGGCTTTGACTCTCCATTATTAACATTCGAAAATAAGTCCCCCTTGTTTCGTCTTTGTGCACTGTTTTTTGGTGTCCAGCTATCCGCTGCCTGCGTGTATTCCAAATAACGAGACGGTTTTACCTTTTTTTTGTCATCGCAGCCTGCTCTAGACGTGTGCCATTGCTTTCCTCCAAATGTAATCTTGAAAAATGTTCAACCTTAAGTTGGCACCCGACAGCGAATGTAGCTGTTATCGCAAGCAGTGGGCAGGTAAATAGTTTAGACCAAAAAAAAACCGTCGCCATTTGCGCAGGCCTGTCTCTGCATATTTGTTCTCACGCTGGATGTGAAAAGACAGATATAAAGACCTTTTTGTACCCTCCTGTGTGAATTGCACATTGTTTAAATGCATCTCACGCATCGGGGAACTGTAAAACTATACAGCCACCCTGGTTCCTCGTATCACGATGATGACCTTGCCAAGGCGTTTTCATTGCCCATCGAGAGGAATAAAAGATATCACTCTTTCATAAATATTGCAATATTTACTTTTAGGTATTTTTGTACGTCGTCACGGCCCAGTTACTAATCTACATGTTAACATATTCCTATTATCTTTTTTGCACGTAGGGCAGCGACACCGCCTAGAGGTAGCACTAGGGCAGCGACACCGCCTAGAGGTAGCACTAGGGCAGCGACACGGCCTAGAGGTAGCACTAGGGCAGTGACACCGCCTAGAGGTAGTACTAGGACAGTGACACCGCCTAGAGGTAGTACTAGGGCAGTGACACTGCCTAGAGGTAGTACTAGGGCAGTGACATCGCCTAGAGGTAGTACTAGGGCAGTGACACCGCCTAGAGGTAGTACTAGGGCAGTGACACCACCTAGAGGTAGCACTAGGGCAGTGACACCGCCTAGAGGTAGTACTAGGGCAGCGACACGGCCTAGAGGTAGCACTAGGGCAGTGACACCGCCTAGAGGTAGTACTAGGGCAGTGACACCGCCTAGAGGTAGTACTAGGGCAGTGACACCGCCTAGAGGTAGCACTAGGGCAGCGACACCGCCTAGAGGTAGTACTAGGACAGTGACACCGCCTAGAGGTAGTACTAGGGCAGTGACACTGCCTAGAGGTAGTACTAGGGCAGTGACATCGCCTAGAGGTAGTACTAGGGCAGTGACACCGCCTAGAGGTAGTACTAGGGCAGTGACACCACCTAGAGGTAGCACTAGGGCAGTGACACCGCCTAGAGGTAGTACTAGGGCAGCGACACGGCCTAGAGGTAGTACTAGGGCAGTGACACCGCCTAGAGGTAGTACTAGGGCAGCGACACGGCCTAGAGGTAGTACTAGGGCAGCGACATGGCCTAGAGGTAGTACTAGGGCAGTGACACCGCCTAGAGGTAGTACTAGGGCAGCGACACCGCCTAGAGGTAGTACTAGGGCAGTGACACCGCCTAGAGGTAGCACTAGGGCAGTGACACCGCCTAGAGGTAGCGTGTTTGCCATTTGCTGTGGAGGTTCACTCGTTTGGAATTCAGCGGCCGCCCTGGTTATTGCTGCGGGTGTCACAGCTGTAATAAAACTACGCGCAGTCTGCTTCCCAGCGGATGTTAAAGATCCCCGGATGTCATTTGCGAGAGTCAACCATTATGGGGCTGCGTCCGTATCCCAACTTTTCTGAATTAAAATATTATCTGTAGATTACTCAAGTGGGGTTGTACACATATCGTTGCTTTCTACTGACAAGCAAATGACCCAGGTCACTCCATAAAATGAGACTCTGTCCTGGTCTCTTGAGTGCTCACCTGCTTAAACAAAATAAACTTATTCATCAAAGAACAAGAGGAGGATCACGAGACACTAGCGATAACAGCCTTGTCACCTTTAACGGCTTTGCGTTATCTCCTTCTGTACCTTAGCCTGTTTGGTTTGCCCGCAGAGATGATAAACGTGTGAACATTGTCGTTGCAGGTGGAGACGTGGTGTCCTCAGCTTCCTTGGAGAAAAAAAGTGTTCAAGCCTGAAGGTCCCCTGGTGAGGATAGGCGGCCCAGCGAGGCCACGCTCACCGTCTACATATTTGGGCTGCTTTTTGCTGGCTTGCAACAGTCAAGCGGGTTGCAAAATGTTTAAAATCAACACGTGTGCCTCACATGCAGCTTGATTGCCGTGCACCTTGTAAAGTTTTGCAATGGAACTGATTGTGCGCATGCAGTCATGCACACTTGCAAGGCCTCGAGGGTGTTACCCATAATGCGTTTTAGCACTTAAAAATATTGCTGCACATTTTATTAACAGGTGCTGAAGTCTTTGAGCAAAGTGATTGTGTAACAATGTACAGCCCTCAATTCCATCGCTGGATAAAGGCCTCCTCCGCGACCTTTCGGTCATTTGGGATTGCTTGACCATACTTCACCACCATGGGCAGTGCTCGCCCACAGGTGTTATTCGTGGCCGTGATTCGAATTCGGGTCACCGGGGTCAAAGCACAATACACCAATCACCGCGCCACCACTCTACCCCTTGTGTACCATCACCCGGCTTGAATTCCCTAATGCAGACATTTAACCACATGCACTGCGCTCAAGTCCCAGTGAGGACAACTAGCGGTCACCCTGTGGGGTAATGGGGAAATTGTTCCAGGTTAATAAAACATAATTTAAAGACTGAGCAATGGTTTACCCTGCCACCTCTCTCTTCCAGTATGACACCACCACCTGACCCCATGTTCATTTTTGTGTGCCGGGCTGACCTTAACAGGTGTTAGCTCGTAGCACTTGCCCCAACAATCTCTTGTTCACGGCTAAAAGGTACGTGTGTGCGAGTGGAGCGGTGGTGCAGTGGGTTAGCACACTGCCCTTTGAACCGGGTGACCCAAGTTCAATGCTCGGCCACGGCTCGCATCAGTGGCTAGTGATATCTGAACCGGTCTGTACCCTCCCCTGGGTCGACTCGGCCATAAATGAGTACGTGGTGCGACGTGTAAAAATCAACGCTCGACCGCGCAGGTGGCCAGGCATGTTATTCGCCACACCACTGCTCCGGGTGCCTTGCGTCATTCTCCTCTATAAACTATAAACTAAATCTAAACTATGTATATCTTACCAAGTAAGGCCCTCTAAGCTACATGGCTCTTTATCAGAAGTTACCTGGCCACAAATGATAGCTCAACAAAAGTGGATTATCACGTGGAAATTTTGGTAGTTCATTCGTTTCTTAGTCCGCTTGTCCTGGCGAGGTTCTAGCTCTTCCTGGGGAATTCCCAGGCATTCCCAGTCCAGCCGAGCGACATCGTCCCACCAGCGTATCCTGGGCTGGCCGCGGGGCCAAATACTCTGAACGTTCGTTTCTAAATGTGGAGGGAAAAACCGGAGGTCCCGGAGAAAAATCCATGCGGCCACGGGGAGAACATGCAAACTCCAAATAGACAGGCGTGGGGGTCTGGATGGAACCCACGACCTGTATACCAGGTGAGGTAGTTAACATCTTGCCACTGCGACCTAAATAGGTGCTCGCTAACAACGTCCCCCAACGGTCTGCTGTGCGCGGCAACCCTTTGTCTTTGCGTGCGCAACGTGCGTCCTGCAGGCGGAGGTGAAGACCGACTTCAAGCAGCTGTTCCACCGCATGGCGTCACGCGAGGAGTTCCGCTGGATGAAGATGCGCATTCTGCGCATGGAGGAGTCGTGGCTCGCGGCCGTCCGCTCGCTCTCGGAGAAGCACAACTTGCAGGGCCGGACGCGCAAGAAGGTGAGCGCGTCCGTCTTCTAGCACGCTGCCACCAGCCCCACCAGCAGCGCTCCCACCTCCGCTGCTGGCTCTGGTGCTGCTGCTGCTGCTACGGCTCGTGCTGCATGGAACAGTTGACCCTGCTAATGCTGATACCGCTGGAATTTGATGCTGATGCACCTGGTACTGCTGATGTTGCAACTGATTGCTATGGTTACTGCTGATACTGGAGCTGATGCAGCTGCTGCTGCTGCACATGGTGGAAATCACGGTGCCAGTTGTTTCAGTGACTCTGGGCCCACAAGGCTTTGGATGTCTTGAGTTGACAGGCATGACTATTAATTGGCAGAGCACTCTTGCAATTAGATGCTTAACACGCCACCTGTGCAGCGATGAATAAATCTGGGTCGCAATTTGGTTCAACAATAAATTACTTCACCTTGTTTTTCCATCTCATTTCTATTGTTTCTCGCATCTCCTCTCTGATTTATACTGCTCCAGCCATTTCGTTAGCCTCCATGCAATAGATTTGTAGTGGGTTCTACGGAGGCACACACTTGAACTTGGAGGCAACACGTTGATTACACACGGCCTTAACAGGGCTACTACTTAAACGTCACAACAAGTTAACTGAACCCCAACAGGGTAACTACATAATTGGATCAGTCAGTAACACACTGCCTGACCCACGATGCCGAACGTGACGACCGAAGACCGAAGGGACGCAGCGCCGAGGGTTCCATTCCAGCAGACAGCCGCGATTGCTCTCGGGACCTCCCCTTTATGCTCCCGAGCGTGGCCTCACTGCCTTGGGTCACGCCCCCTTCTGAATCCTACCAGAAGGTTCTCGACCGAGCATCACGTGCCCCTCAAGTCCCCTTTGGGCCCCCTCGCTATCCTGTCCCGGTCACGTGCCCTCTCGGGTTCACTCAGACTGTCACGTCCTTACTTGCCCTTTCTCTGACCCTCACCAGGACCATGCCCCCTAGGGCCCGCTTCCATGCCATACCTACTCGGGTGCCATAGAGAGGTTCAAGACGTACAGTTCCACTCTTGTGACAGTAGCTGGCACTAAACGCAATAGTGACTCCTTTTACGTCACTACACATTTTTCACGCGCGAACTATTCAGTGCATGCGAGTGTAAAAATCAATCTTCGATCGATGAGGCAACGCGTCACCGGTTACCGCGTCAGGCCAAAATGGCATCCGGCCCCCGTGATGGTAACGAGGCCGCTGCTTCATCGCAGCCGGTGCTGTTACCCCGAGACCGCTGGTCCAGCAACCCCGTCGGCCTCGTTGTGTCGTCCATGGCTGCGTGCTCGGGGTGTCAATCGGCGGCGAAAGTGAAAGTGCCGTGGGGCTCTTGCCGCACGTGTGCAGCCCTGTCCGTGCGTTGTCGCGTTGGTAGCCGTGGCCGTGCGGGCGTTATCTCTTGGTGAAGAGGGCGACACTCGCAGCCACATCTCAGCGTTCCTTGCTACGGTGTTGTTGCTGTTGTTGCGCATTAATGAGGCCAGCCGACGTCATGACCGCGTCGGCTCCTGGACACAATCGTTGTGGTCACGCGTCGACTGCAATCCATCCGGCGACTCATTGTGCGTCTGCAGTTGTGTTGAATATCCTGTTCGCACAACAGGGGCAACAAGTCGCGGGGTCGGGAGTGATGTGATTCCACACTCGGGAAATGGTAATTGTGCAATTCGTGATGAATTACAATCGAATTGTGACAATTTGATTGTAAACGTTGTTTCGGTTGACATTGTTGACGTGGTAATTATAGCCGACCCCAGGTCAATGCTAATTGGGGGCATCGCGCTGATTGCGGGAGAACCGCGGCTTCATCCCGTCGCGTCACCCGTTGTCTTCCCGCTCCTCGCCCCATGCCCGCCTGTGGCAGATTCTGGTTCACCTGGGCCTCCTGACGAAGGAGTCGGGCTTCAAGATCGCGGAGAGCGCCTTCTCGGGCGGCCCGCTCGGGGAGCTCGTGCAGTGGGGGGACGTCATCTCGGCCCTCTACCTCCTGGGCCACCACATCAAGCTCTCCGTGTCCGTGTCCGAGCTGCGAGAGTAAGCGCGCATCTCTCCGTCTCTCTCCGCTTCGCTCGTAAAGCCGCCGTTTGCTTCACTGACTTTGACTTTACTTGGGCCAACTGCGGAGTAGACTGCGGTATTAAAACGAGTGTTCAGATGTTCAAACACCAAATACATACCTATTTCAAGGCAGCACGTCTAAATTGACCACACGCACTTGTGGAAAAACTTAGGCAAACATGCTCTGATAATATTTCCATAAAGGATGAAGCTTATTATTTTTTTCATCATTTTGATACTGGAAAGAAGGTCCCATGAAGACTATGGTGTTGTTCACGGGCAGGAGGTCGTAGGTTCGATTTGGAGTTTGCGTGTTCTCCCCGTGATCATGAGTATTTAGCTGCAATCATTTGTGGCCAGGTCGCTTCTGAAAAATAAACTACGAAGCTCATTGGGGCTTACCTTGCAAAAGAAAAATAGTAGTTAAACGAAATGTCAACATTGTATTGCTATTTACCTGTTTGGGGAATCTCAGCTCCTGATGAAAGACAAACAAGCCTGTGTTTGGCCCCCTGTCTGAAACGTCTAGAGCAAATTTGACATTTTTTTCTTTCCTCTGGCTGCCGTTTCCCACCGCAGAGACGTCTTGCAGTGCTACTTTCATAAAATTGCCATTCGCAAGAAGTTGAGTTATTATTGGAATTTTCCAACACAGATTCTCGCGAAGCGAAGCAGTGATCAGATTTGTCCAGATCTGGGATACTCAAATAAATTTTGACAAATAAAACCAGTGCAAAAACCGTTGCCTTAAAATTGCCCTCGTGGTTTTAAATTGAAACAAAAATATCTCACCTGGATGATTTCTTGAGATAGAATAGGCCGGCAAGCGACACATTAATTGCAAAGTGTATGTCACAGCCTTTAGTTGTCTATAGCTGCGGACAGAGTCCGGACAGAGTCCAGAGTGTCTAACTGAAGAGTTAGACAACATTTGTTCCAACATTGCATTCACTCATTGTCCGCTGTGCACATGTTCCACTTTGTGAGAAGCTACCAGTGATCACCAAATGGATGGAGAGACTTGGCCCTGGCATGGCAATGTCTCATTTTTTGGCCTTCGGGTAACGACGGCCAACAGATTAGCACTGCCGCCATTGCTTGTTATCCTGGGAGACGCCTCCACCTTGTCTCCATTTTAGTAACGTTTCTTATTATGATTCCATGCAATAATTATGAACGCATAACCCTCGCCGCAGAGAGAGAGAGAGTTCTGTAACGGATGTGCCGCTGTGCAGGTCAGTGCGTTGTGGCGCCGTAGTTTCATTTCTGCTTTTATCTTCAGTCGGTCATCATAAAAATAGCGAGTCGTTTCTGTCAGTGAGATTCCTCAAGGCAGTAACGTATAAACAAACCGGGATTGGTTCACTAAATCCACAGAGAAAGGCCCAAACATGTTTCGAGTGTTACTAGAAGTACACTGCTGGCTCACACTTATTGTTTCGTATTTCATTCACTTCTCGTTTCATCTTTCCATGCAGTCACTGTGACATCGGTGCTCTCGTTTTTCACAGCGACCACGTTGGGGGCTAACCAAACGCTTCCAAGTTGGCCTTTACAATAAGTGAGCGGGTTCTGTGTTGGCCATCTCATTCCCAAGCCGTTCTCATCGCCCCAGTGTAGATTTACGAGTGAACTCGGCTCCTTCTGACTCGGACGCTTCACCGTGGTGCCAGCGGTGGGACTACCCAGAGTCGTCTGCTCTACCGAGGGCCACATTGAATCTTCGCCTTGCACATTTTGACGCTTCAGCTGGCTTGTCTGACTTCAAGTGGGCGACCAACTTCAATCCCCTTCGCCGTACCGCCTCTCTCGCGCCATACTGAGTCTCCATCGGCCACTCCGAGACATTTTCTCGATCGATTTCATTGATCGCGATGAGAACGCTTCTCGAAAGATGCCCCTCGCTGTCTCGCGATGGAACTTTGTGTTCGATGATCATTTTTCTTTGACTGCGACTTTCGTGCAGTCGTTCTTGTTTTAATCGTGCCTGAACTTCAAGGTTCAACTTTTATTGCCGAGTTAATGTGCGCAGCTTTTACATTCCTGAATGTGAGTAACGTTTATTGTAATGCTGTAATAAAGTTCGCATTTGCATCCCTTTGGCTGTCTCGAGCACTTGGCAAAGCCTTGTGATGAGATGTTAGAATTGAGGTCATCAATACACCTGTGTTTTTCACGCAGGGTATCCACCCCCTGTACATACCATCACAGGCTTCATCTCGTCTGTACCAATGGTAATTTTCAAAGCAATCAATGCTCACCCTCTGAGCACCTAGAGGCCCCTTCAGAGTCCTTGCAGCTCAGGGGAATGGAACTTTGAATGCAAGTGAACGCCACTTGGCGTTAGGTTGCTATGGGACCCCGAGCCGTAAACAGTGGCAAGCTCTGCCCAGAATGCATCGCAGGGCTCCTCTGTGGATTGTGGGCGTGAAAGGCCTCCACTCAGGACAATTCTCACGTATATTTATATCCTGCATGTAAGTCTGTCAACTTGCTAAACAGATGGGCAATGCTGTTATGTATGCAGCTGCATTGAAAACAAATACTAATTTTATTCAGTACTTTTACAATCACAATCTTGTTTTTAGCCGGCCCTTTGTTTTAATGGAAAGTGTGACCTGGTATTCATTGAAGTTGAGCAACCTCGGTGCAGCTCTGCTCGGTATCACAGATTCAAAAACGTTTGTGCACACGCGTATTTTCGTGTTTGCTACGTGCGTGTGTGTACGTGCGTGTCACCTGACACCCCTGGACACCCCTTGTAAACGGACGACCCCCGAGTATCGTATTTTAATTATCATTTTAAAAGTTAATGAACGGTGATGACGTGCGCCGTTGACGGCGGTGTTTCCCGCCGCTCAGGGTGATGAAGCGCGTGGCCGGCGTGAAGTCCGGGTGCCCCGTCAAAGGGGAGAAGGTCGTCGACCTGATCTACATCGACATCGTGGGCCTTACGCAGTTCAAGAAGGCCGTGGGTCCACCCTGGGTCCACTACCAGTAAGCACCGCCCTCTGCGGCGCACGCTCGCCGCGTTCCGGCCCCAGAGAGACGGCCCTGGAGATTGGCGCAGCGTGGCGAGGAAATCTCGTCCCTTCCACAGTGGGGGGGAGTGGGGGGGGTACCCTTCGCTAAATCACTCGCCTGGCTTTGTGTTCGGTGAAAATCATCGTAAATCATTTAACCAATGGGGAAAAGGAAGATTATCCGTAATTGCTTTCCTTTCAATGTATTCAAATTATATGCGCTACCTGCTGGTGCGCGCACAAATTGTGCGACTTCTCGCAACTATTCTAATCCTCCTGCCCTTCGACTGGAGAGCGGGTGCGCCTTTGTTGGCGCCACAGCTAGAGGAAATTATCTTGGGTATCTTCGCTCGCAAATTAAAACCGTTTGCCGATCTGCACTTCCCCCCCACGGTCCTCGTGAGCGCTCGGGACGCCACGGTTACGATGGAATCCGCTTGGGTTCCCCAGCAGCACTGCAGCGGCTTGGCAGAGGGAAGCGACACTTCAACGCCTCTTCTCTCCCCCCTCCCCCTCGCCGCACGCGAGCGCAGGTGCATGCTGCGAGTCCTCGACTCCTTCGGGACAGAGCCCGAGTTCAACCATGCCCAGTACGCGCAGTCCCGCGGACACAAGACGCCCTGGGGGAAGTGGAGCCTCGTGCCGCGCCAGTTCTACACCATGTTCCGTACGTCGCGCCTGCCCGGCGTTACGAGTTGGCCGACGCGTGCCCGGTATCTGGAGTGGGCGGGTACTGTGCGGCGGTCGACGGAAGCGGTGGGGAGGCGAATGTAGTCGCGCACGATGCTGGGCATGCCGACCCCTTGCGAAGCCAACATTGCTGGGCCCAAAGTTTGGGCGAAATTCATCGATATTTGTTTGCGTACGGACACGCGGCTCCAGGGGTAGTATGGGTGCAGCAATTAATGCATTCGACGATTAACTTAAATTTGCCTGCATGATTTGTGTATCTACTCGTGTGCGTAATCAGTTTATCGGTTTGTGCGTGTCGTGTGCAATGGGTTCACATCCCCCCTGCAGCCACTGGAGATGCTCCCATTCACTGCAAGGTTGAAAAACAAATTCGATTCTCGAATGGAATCTCGACCCTGAATCATGACAAATCCTCATCGTCCTGGGGGGAGTGGAGGAATGTGTCGGGGAGTTATTTCACCAAAATAGAAAACGGATAAAAAACATTGACAACCAATAATCCATGTTTTAGTCCTTCAGCCAGCCTCTTAATCTCAATGTTTATCCTCCAGAATGTATTTCATCTCTGGAATGGTTTCCACCTTCGAGGTCTCATGAGCAGTCACGCATTGCTGCATTGTCTGATGTTATCGGCAAGAGCATTCCACCTGCACGATGGGGCCCTGTCAGCACAAAAAAAACCCCACATTACAATATAAAAACCTCGTTATGCATTGTCGTAAAACAGAATTTCACGCAGCAAAAGTCCTGTCCTTTATATGTCCAGGACCAGATGCGCGCACCGTCACACCAACTAAACACAGCTTGGGATTTGCACTCGCGAGATAGGTGATGCCAATGATGGGCCGCGGCCACCGCAAGGGTGTGGCGGTACACTGCCCAATGCCGTTGGGGAAGGATGGGGTTATTATTTTTAATAATATTTCTTTTCATGAACTGTGCTCCTGTCCTTGTGGACATATTTCTACTTAGAGTTTGCATTCCTCCGAGGATTGATGACTGCGCTGCGAACCCAATTTACTAAACGATGCTTGATGGAGAAAAATGAAGTGACAGAGTGTCTTAATATCTGTTTCACATCGGATGCTGTCATGTTCAGTGTCGCGTTAGAATAACATTGCCGCTGACCTTACGGGCGTGTGGGCGGGCACACCCGCGCGTGAGTGTGTGCTCATGCGTGCATCTGTATAGGCCTGCCTGTGTCCTCAATACCGGGCTAATTTATGGAGGGGCTGTGTTGCCTTGGTGCATTGCTCGTCTTCACAAAACCCCCTGCTATTTCCGTGAAGAACACATTTAACCTCTATGCAGCTTGTAGTATTATTTTTATTGTTTAAAAATATAAAAAGACGATGCAACAACCAGAAGATAAATCTGTAACGCACAAAATCAATGCTACAGTAGCTCCAGCACTAAGCCTGGACTGCCCGACGTATGGCGTTCATGTGCAGCATGGCGACGCAGTGAACAACAATAGCAGCAGCTCGGGATTGTGTTGCGCACTTTGTTCAGTTCTCGAGCCCTGTCGGTGAGATTGTGTTTACTTTCCACGTAAATGCCACCTCTTCTTTGTTCGTCGTGTTGTTCCCACGGGGCCACGAAATGTCTGCAGAGCAAGGACACGCCGCATGACTTACTCTGCCGTCTACCCACAATTCCTCGCATTTTTCAACGCATTAATTTTTTTAGTTTGTCACCTAGACTCCTCTCCGTATACGGGACGCATTTGCCACTCGCCCGCGCTATTTCTCCTGGACGCACTTGTAGATGCCTACCTCCTGTAAAACGCTTGCTCACGAGTCCATGTATATGCGTGTCCTTCATGTGTGCAGCCCACACGCCCGACAACAGCTTCCTTGGTTTCGTGGTGGAGCAGCACCTGAACTCGAGCGACGCGGCTCACATGGAAGACGTGAAGAGGCAGAACCAGTCTTTGGTCTACGGAAAAGTGGACAACTTCTGGAAGGTACCGCGTGTGCGTGTGCTTTCGCATGCTTGCGCGCAAGTGTCACGGGGAATGGTGGTGCACATTGTGCACATTGTGCACCACCATTCATATTCCGTTCCAAACGTGCAGACCCGAGTTCGATTCGCGGCGGAAGGTAACATCCGTGGCGAATAATCCCAACCAGTCCTGGGCTCTCCCTGCGTTTGACTCGGCCCTAAATGAGTAGCCGGTGCGGTGGGTAAACATCAGCGCAGGGGAAACAAAGGCAGTCGGTTGTGGTGCTCGTCCCAACTTCCCCACATTCGCCACGGCGGCCTCATGAGGTACTCGCTTGCAGCACTTGCCTAAACAGTCTTCGACTTTGTTTTACGTGTGTGTTTTTATTTGTGCACGAGTCTCAATTGAAATACTCGTGAGGTTAAAGAACAGGTAAATGTTTATTCTTGATCTGCCCATGGCTGCCCGTGCTTAAAATGTTCAGAGAATTTTTGTAATTATACATTTTTTTGTTTGCTTGGTACTGCAATTACCCCCAAACCCCACCCCTCCCCCCTCAACACGAGCCTTTAGACTTTTTGCGGATAACGGCACGCGCTCCTTTTGTTTTGTTATCGCCATACCCTCGGCGCGGAGTCGCGGCCAAACACCGGTCGGTGTGACTGCTGCGAACGCACGCACAAATGCACACACAAACGCACGCACGCTAATTTCTCCTCCGCACAATGCGTTGACAGGGACCCATTGTGCGACACGCGCACGCTTCATTAACGAGAACAGCCACAATGGGGGCAAACAGGAAGCACGGAAGCAGATATCGTCGTCGCTATTGAAACACCCCCCTGTTGATTTGTTCTCTGTGGAGGCAAGAAAAATATTAAACACTGCAGCCGCTCGCTCACACCACTGCCAGCAGCAGGGCCTCGTCCAGAGGGAGCACCAGAGAGCCGCTCTTGAGGGCATTTGGCCTCCTCTTCCACACACGCCGCCCAAGGCAACTTGGAAGAGGCGAGAGTGTCCCCACTTAATCCCACCGCACCCGAACTGCCCATGCACTAATTATGGTGCTGCGCCCATTTGTACCGATGGGTGCACAGAAGCAGCAGAGGGTTGGGTATTTAATAAATGTGAACCGTTGTTCCAGCTGCCGCGCCAGGAGGTTGAATCTAGCCGGCGACCTCTGCATTGCTAAGCGTGACACCTTTGTGAACAGCGTTCCACGTGGCTTATTTAAAATAAGTCCGATTCATTTAGAACCGTTTGTTTTCACCGTGGCAGCGTCCAGCTGCTGTGAATGCGCATCCCGCTCTGCCATTCTCGGTTTCGAAATTCCTGCCGTCGCAAACGACCGTGTAGGATTAGCGCGACGCAGTGCTCAGGAGGGGGGGGGGGGGTGGGAACGAGGTGGGTGGCTGGGGTAGGGAAGTGGAATTGCCAGGGGGAGCAGAGGGGTGATGGGTTGGTGGGGTGGCGCAGGGCCACACTGAAAGTATGAAATGGGCTTAAATAATAGATTTTCTGGCACTGATGGAAAGGCCGGCGCGCGTGATGGGATGTTGGCACTGAAGAAGTGCGTGCGTGCGTGCGTGAGGTGCGTGTGTGTGCGTGCGTGTGCGTGAGGTGCGTGTGCGTGCGTGAGGCACGCGCGCGAGTTGTGCGCTGCGCCGTTTGGCGGTCGTCGGCTCGGCCGTTTGTTGTGCTGCCTCGAGGGCTTCCACAACGGCAAGAGGCCTCGCTCGTTCGCGCCGTGGCAGCGAATTAAAATATCTAGTCTGTGATGTTTACCATGATTTGTGGCATATTTTCATCATCGTCGTTGTTATCATTACCGGCCGTGGTCTATACGTTGATAAAATAAAGGCATCCTCATGCCATCTCCGTCATGGCTCGTGGTCCTGCGACACCACAATCCATCTCACTCCTGGGTGTGAACGGACCTCGGTTTACTTTTTTTTTACTTACAATTTGAAAAGAATCATGAACCATAAATCACAATCACAAAACACACATCAGTAATGCTAGCATCCACAAAGTTACTTTGGGGCAAACGAACCGACTTGCTCACCAACCTCGAATGTCTTTAATCAACTTCCCACGGCACCAAAGAAGTGAACCCTTGTCCGATACCGAGCAAGGTGTGCAGAGTGATTGTACTGTGACCCAAAGGACCCCGTGTTGTGTAAACACCCCATCGCTGCAGCCAGTGCTGGAGAGATTGGGTGTTTAAGCAGTGGCTTTTGGCTGGCCATCAAACAAAAACGGTCACTGCATCGCGTGCTTTCAGATGTGCTCCTCTTTCCGATATTAGGGAGCCACTGGAGCTGTGCACTTTTAAATCTAGATAGAAAACTCATTTCTTAAAAACTGATTTTTGTGTGTCGTTTGTTTTCCTTAAACCGCACCTCTTATCACCACGGTTGGCTACATATGGTGTAAAAGAAGTTAAACCTTCATACAAACAGTGCATACTTGCAGCTTGTATGGTTTCAACAGCCAGCACTTTATTTGATCTTAAATTAAAGTGCACACCCCCCCTCCCCCCCAAAAAAAACCGTGTAGTTAAATTCGCTGTCATGAAAACATGATACTTGTAAACGGTGTCCTTACGTATACAAAAGGCTATGAATAGTGAGCCCCACAGCCTGTTCCCTCTTAGAATTCTTAGTGGTGAACAATTTTAACAACAACAACAACAACCACCAGACAGGGGCTTGTCCAGTGCTAGGGCTGTGCTCACGGGGGCTGCCACCGAGCAAACGACAGCAACAACAACGGTGCCTTGCAGGGAAATGAGCACTCCCTGAAGCGACATCGCCGCTTGGGGAAGTAAAGTCTATCGGCTCGCCACATGTTTGTCACGTCCTGTACAGGAGCGAGGTGGCGTAAGTTGAGTTTAAGATCGGTGTCGCGTTGGATCGCTTGGCGACGATTAGTACGCTCACAATACAAGTGTCGAGTCATGTGCTCGAGTCGGTTATTTACACCTGATGCATATTATACGCTCACTGTGCTAATGTAACATTTAGGCAATTTGAGGGAACATAGCTATACAAACGGGACAAACGAACCGAACTGATTCGACGTTTTGCCCGAATCAAAACCAAGAATTGTGATAATTCATCAAATCAATGGAGCAGCTGGCCAACGTGCATCATTACATCCATCACTCGGGCACCGACGCTAAAAAACAGATTTTGCTCGTACACATAATCTCCTTCAGTGCTGTGCCCAACGATTCTGGCAACCTGGCTTAGACTCGTGGCCAAACGGAGCGCAACAACGCCAAGTGGTATCTGGACAGTGCATCGGCCCTGCCAAGACACCGGCAGACAGCCGTGGCCACGATTGGCCACGCTGCCCGTTCCACGGCTGCTCGCTGACGGCAACAGTCGTTGGGCTAATTGTGGATCATTGTCTGCCCTTCTTATCACGCACGCACGCTCACAGTCACTGAACAAAACGCGATAGAACAATTCACCCGCCACTCCTTGCGAGCCAACGAAATGTCACATTTTAAGGTCTCAATTCCATTCACGGATCCTGTCTCGTTTTTTCTTTTGGGTTCAGCATCCCTAGCTGCAGCAGAGGTCGCATTAACCCGTGTCATAATTGAAAATAATCGATTCTTACGTGCTAGATTCCATGAATGTAATGTAACGTGAAGAATAGGCTTTCTTAACCTTGTGAGACATGCACCCCAATTCAACAAAGTCTGCAAATTTAATCAAGAAACTTATTTACATTATTTTTTATATAACCGACATTGATTAAAGACCAAACGTAGTCTGCAAAGCCACTGTTGTGTTTTGAAAACTAATTTCTTCAGAACTGCTTTTTGTGTTTAGTTTTTCCTACCCTCACAGCTCCAATTAGCACTGTTGGCTACGTACGCTGCGACAGAATTTATACGTGCATACACAACATGCTACCCTTGCATTTTCACTCAAGTTCCTTTCGACGACGCTGTGTGGACGCGAGCACTTGGGTGTGGCGGGCACGGTACCGTGTTTGTGCTAAACGAGCACAACGGCCGGTGTCGGCGTCAAGGCCAGGCCATCGCCGTTCAAAGCAAACGACCTCGCCGTCACCTCTTGGGCTTGTTATCTCGCGCATAACCTAAGACCCGCGCAGAGTACAAAGACTAGAACCGGGCCTTGCCCCCACCCCTGGATAGTCACCCCGGCGGGGGTCCTCGCAGCGGTCGTCTCCATCTGGAGGTTTCCGCAGGTGAATTCTCTTCCCGCAGAATCTCCCAGAACGTGGAGCGAAACGTCAGCCACCGTCGTGCCGAACAACACGTGCGGCACAGCCCGAAAACGCGACGGGGGGGAGGCTCTTGGTTTAGTCGAGTTACTTTTTATGGCACTCAAACTTGGGTTTGTCCCTTGTGTGCAGCTACAAAAGCTGGGCTTATTGACCGGTGGAGATCGCTAAAATGATCACCAAAGAGACGGCTACATGCACCTGGCGTTTCTGTTGCTCCTAGGGCAGCCTAAGAGTGTCCGATATAAATTGTTTGCCAAAGTAAGAAAAGCAGCGAACGTATTTATCCAGCACAAACCGGGAACGCTGCCCTGCCTGGCCCCGGCGCACTTCGTGCTTTTGTTTGGTTGCGTCCCGTGGCACTGTCGTGTTGCGCATCTGTAATTCGCTTGCTCGTGTGGCCGAATCTCCTCGCCGAGCCTTAGTCACGTTCACGTTCCATAAGCGATTGATAGGTTGGGTTTGACTCCGCATTGTCTTTGGAATTTACTCACCACTTAGGCGCCTGGTATGCAGGAGGTCGTGGGTTCGAGCCCAACGCCCGTATATTTGGAGTTTGCGTTCCTCAGGAAACCCTCGGCGAGTTTCAAGACTCATTTTTAGAAGGGTGCTGCTGCATTTGTGGATGTTTGTTCAGTCGGTTGAGGAGCGTTCTTGCACCCATTGAGACCAGAAGTCTCCTTTTCAAGGGAGACCCGGGGAAATATAATTATGGCGCACGAGCGTACGATCCCCTTGAACGCATGCGCGTTTGCGTTGTCCAAGTGAAATTAATTGGGGGGCCTCAAGTAATACGGTGATTCACATTTGAACAAAAAAACAAATGCCCACATGAAGAACTCTATAAGTTGCCTGTGTAACATTCATGGTTGCGGTGGGTGGGGCAGGGGGGCTTAGTGGCAGGAGAGGACGCTGGTGACATACAAGAGACCCGTGTGTGCACAGCAGTGATTGCGCTGCGCTACGAACCCGGCGACCCAAGTTCGATTACCGCTCATGACAATTATCTGAACCTGTCCTAGTCCTCCCGTAGGTCGACTTGGCCTCAAATAAAGCCTGGTGCGATACGTAACACATTGCCACTAGGGTGACGAAGGCGGCCGGGCGTGGCGATGTCACGCCACCACCCCATCGTGTGCCATGCTGCCCTTCAAAGTTGCTCGCTAACAGCACCTTCCAACACAGTCTGTCATGCTATTCAGTGGATATTTGGTGTATGCCTGTAACAACTGTAAGAAAATATCACAGTTACACGCATCATATAAATAAACTTATGCAATAATTTCAAATGTGCAATATATTAGACACTGATATCAGCATCTTGTTATAGTTTATAACAGCAAACTTTTATTATGCCATAAGCTAAAAAAAAGGTGTATAACAGCTACGGATTCTAAAGTGCAAACAACGGAAGCCATGCAGTTGAACGTTTTGAAGGTAATCAACACGTCGCATTACAGCAAGCAGTCAACTAAACTTAGTATACATAACACAGGTTTTTTTTTTAGGTTAGATCGCGTAAATATAAATGTGTCGTTAAACCCGCCACCACCCGACACACAATTACGTGGCAAGGTTTGTCGTGTAAATAGAACATGCCAATTCGTTACTAGTACAGCACACCGGTGTGTTGGAGAGAAAATCCACGACATATACAATCTGAGTACAACTAACTAAATGGACGATATTGGTCACGGAAGCCTACGTGTTCAACTAAACTTAGTAAAAACACTGTGAAAAGCAGGATTCAACAGCCTGCTTGCTGTACTGCCATTTCTTGGCCATCTCGCAGCCCGGCGGGTTTTGGAGTTTCAGGATCGTCGACGAGGATTTACCAAATCTCTTCTGTCTGCACATGATAATAAATTCGTCCAATCACCTTCTTGGTTTTTAAATATTATCAATCCTGCATTTCTGCTTAAATATGCTTTTACCCATAATGCTACACAAACGGCAGGATGGCGCAGCAGTTACACCCATGACTCACGGCAAGCGTGGCCTGGGTTTGAGTCCCGACTCGGGCACCCTTTCTGTGCTCAACTTGTTCCTTGATGGTTTTCTCCGGTTTCCTCCGAAAGCTAAAAACAAAAACATACAATGTGACTGGTATTAACCCAAACATCCCATTGCTTGCAAATTACTTAATTGGGATTGCACGCAGCAACGGTGCCCCCTGCTGCGAGAGCCTGGAGGTGGCCTCCTGAGTAAACTTGACGAACACAGCTGCCGTTCTGTCAAACATAGGACAATAGAGTTAAAGGAGACCTTCATGGAGAGAGACGTGGTCATGAAAATGGTATTTTTATATGCCACGCAGCATTGTTTTTGTCATACTATCTACATATTGATTTACTCAAAGGAGGCACCCTCATAAATACATGGATACTTTGTCAACAGGACCCATTGTGAGCTCTTCCGTCCGATCTTAAAAAGAAAATACGGCACATACGTGCGTGCACGCGTGTGTTTGCGGTTTAATTTGTCTCCACCTTTTCAAGGAGTCACTGTTAACGCCTTGTTATTATTGCCAACAAACTTGGCATTCGCATCTCTGGGTGTGCACGAAAGGCCAACTCTCGCACCAACTCTCACACCGTGCCCATTCCCGGGATGGCGTCGCGGCACGGGGGGGTGAGCGCCTCGCACGTCCGTGGGCTGCTTCGTCCGCGTATTCACGTGGCCACTTAGCACGCGGTCTCTGGGGGTCGCGGGGTCGTGGATGTTTCCCCTCTCCGCTCGCGCTGGTGCTTGGGTTAACAAGGCGCCGCCTCTCTGTGCGCGTACCGCACCACTCCGTGCCGCAACCGGGAAAGTGGGGCATTAGAACGCCTCTTCCGGGTATGTGCATTGACACTTGGGGTGGGTGAGCGCGCTTTCCCTTGGTGAATTAATACGGAAACTCAACCCATTTGTCAATAAACTGTGTTGCCCTGAAGAGACACAAATATATAATGGGAAACATTTCGGGGAATATCCCTACTTCATGTGACCTCCTTTCCAGTACCAAAATATGAGAATAGGTTTTCCCCTTTTTTCTGGCAACAAAACAGGAGTTGAGATGTTAAAACACCAAACTGAAACCTTTTACAATGAATCATGTCTGCATTAACCACAATACGTGTGGTCAGAAAGCAAAAAACAACATACTCTGATAATAAAAGGTTTCTGTTTGGTGTTTAAACATCTCAACACCTGTTTTGTTTCCGGAAAAAAGTGGAAAACCTATTCTCAATATCCCTACTATATAGCACAGCAAGGCTGCCGGAAACGTTATCTATAGATAACCATATATAATAATTATTATACGGTTACTCCTGGAATGCGTTTTGGTCTCGCGGCGTGTTCTTGGACTGTGGCTGCCTTAAGCACTTCGCCTGCAATCCAGAATGTTGGAGGCAAGGGTTGATGGATCACCCCGATTCATTCTACTCCAAAATCTGCAGCGCTGTCAAGTCGCTGGGAGGTTGCAGTGCGTTAAATGGGCTCGTAAAATCCATCTGTGCGGAATTTTGAGTGTTATGCGTTGAGATTTCTGCGAGCACTCGGTTTTCTTCGCACCGTCAAAATACGGCTAACGTGGGCCAAATGTCCCAATGCAAGGACCCTCCTGAAAGAGTCTGGAGACTCGGTTAGCCTTTACAAATGAATGGAATTGTTCTTATTATTATTATTCACCTTTGCTTCCACGTAAGCTTTTGCGACCGATATAATTAAAATCCATTGTCTGGATCGCACCGCGCGAGTGAATTATGTTGGGTGGAGCTAGGTGTACGGCACTTCACTCACCCGCTCCGACCCAAGCATCGATTACGAATCCACGTTTTTACTTTTCCTCCCGTTCACGTAACAGTTAACCTGCCTCACCTCTCGAGTGGAACATCCGACGGCGCCCATTCATGCGTCTACCCCCCACCCCGCTCGCGCGTGATGTCACGGCCCCGCGTGCAGGGCAAGATGCAGTACCTGGACATCATCAGCAAGTACACGGAGATCCACGGAACCGTGCACGGGGCCACGGTCAATGTGCCGCCCTACGTCAAGAACCACGGCATCCTGAGCGGTCGCGAGCTTCAGTTCCTGCTGCGTGAGACCAAGGTATCCTTTCTCTCTCTCTCTTTTTGTTTTGCCACCTGGCGAAGCCAAAACGTGAACTCGGAGCGCTAAGCAAGTGTGAAGATTGCTGCCCCCCGCGAGCACAGAGGGGCGACTGGGAATGGGCGCAAGTCTCTTGTTTACTTTTTGTTTGACCCCCCTTTGGGTTCAGCACGTCTTGTAATTGGAGGCGGTTGGGGGGGGGGGACATCTAAATTCGACCACATATCCCTCGGCGAGATGCTGTACGAAATCGTGCCACGCGTGTATCGCTAGGCGGTGGAAAAGGTGCGTAGAACATACGCGGTGTGTGTTAATAGAGAAGAGACGGCCCTAGAAAGAGGGGGAAGATGACGGTCGAATGAGCAATGAGATGCGATTCCATAAAGGATTCTTTAAAACGGTGAGTGCGTTCTCATAACTGACTGGGGGACTAGAACACATTCCTGCGGAGGGAGCTGGTAGGAACGTTGGGTTGCTCGGTCAATGGCCAGGGTCAACGGCGGCACCACGTGGTGTGTTCCGCAAATATGCCCGACTGTGAGGGGGGGGCACAAGCCGGCGAGAGTAGGTTAAACGTTGAGTTTTAATAAGGGCACCACGGGGTGACCAGCCCCTCCCCACCCCTCCCACCCCCCACCCAGCCTCACCGTCCCCACCCCCCACCCAGCCCCACCCTCCCCGCCCAGCCCCTCCCCACCAGCTCCCCCCAGCCCAGCCCCTCCCCACCCTCCCCACCCAGCCCCTCGCCACCCTCCCCTCTCCACCCAGCCCCACCCCTCCCATTTTATCCGGGTGTCCGGATACACGTGGACAGACATCCACAGACATACACAATGAATCCCCTGCCTCCTGTGAATTAATCCCGGTTGGGCTTCCAGTCCCCACTACGTTTCCTACCAGTATTATGGGTGCAGTGGAGTAACCTGAGGACTTGCTTGGACCGGGTGGTCTCGTGTACGGGAGACTGCCGGGAGCCTAGCAGCGGCATCTGTTCCCTGGTATCACTCTCCCAGCAGCCGCAGCAGCAGCTTCTGTTTCCACCACGTTACTCGCTGACCCCCTGTCTCCTGCTGCACATCTGTGAAAGAAAGCTTCATAGCTCATCGGATTCCCCCAGTCTAAATACGGATTTTTGATTGGGTGCCAGTTTCGTTGGCGGGCGGTGGGCGTTTTGCGACCTCGTGAAAGCTGCAGCGCCACCCCGTGTGTCGCTGGGCCATTGGCGGTCTTGATTCAAAGGTCAATTGCTTTGAAGTGGTCAAAAGTCGTGACTTTACCCGCACCCCTCCCCCGTCATCCCAGCCTGTGGATGTGCTCGAGGCTGCGTTCAGCACCGCCTTGCCGGGGCTCGCAGTGTCGTGTTTCATTTTAAGCGATGTTACTTTATAATTAACGTCGAATCGTCTTACATCTTCCATGGTTTCATATTCATTCTTAAATTTAGCTGAAACAATTGTCCGATTGTTTTTTTCCGGCGTTGTTCGGTGTACACCCAAGAATGTGTTAGTGTTTTTCTGTCCAATTTATTTTTTTTACTTATCTGCACATCATGTTCCCCGGTCTCTGTTGGCTCTTGAAAATATAAAGGAGCAGCCCTGCAATTGCTTCTTCATACCACAGCTGGTGGACGGCCCTCCACAATAGGGAGCTCCAGAGAAGCCCTCATGGGGTATTTTGGCCTCCTCTTCCATGTGCAGTGGCTTCTTAACTGGTTCTAAATAGATGTTAAGCTTCATATGTATGTTCAACTTTACTCTTTGGTTCTATTCGGTAAAGTCACGTAGGTAAAAAATAAAACAACAAAAATCACGACGTTTCGGCCACAACACACACAGACTGCGCAGTCTTCGAGACAGTTTGGTCCCTTCACCTGATGAAGGCCGCTTGTGTTGTGGCCGAAAAGTCGTGATTTTTGTTTTATTTTTTTTACCTACGTGACTTTACCAAATAGAACCAAAGAGTATGGATCCTTGCAGTCACGAAAGCTTCAAATCTAGAATATGTTGAACTTCTTTATACCGTACGTAGCTAACTGATAATCGGAGGTGCAAATAAACGTCGCATATTTCTGTAATCTATGAGCATCCCTTTAGGAAGCAGTCGTCCAGTGAACGTGCGACGTCGGCCCAACGTTACACGTTTTACTGGGCAGTGGCGTGTGGTCGGGCTGGCGGAGAGCGATTTTCTTAATCTTGAACACGTTTAAACGTTTCCTGATATCGTGCGGTAGTGATCGTGCGGCTGGCATTGGAGAAGCCCGCTGCATCTGTCGCACAGCCACGAGGGGTGGCCGTGGATTCTTTCGTCACGAGTGGTGAAATGGAAACCAACTGGGGGCGAATCACGAGCTCAATTTTAGCAGCCACATCGATGCGCCCGGAGGGGCCGAGGAAACGGGAATTAAATCTGCGATTTAGAAAAGCACGAACTTCCTTCGTGGTATGGTCTCCATATGGTAAATTAGAAAGGTTACTCTCCAGGTGTATATAATTACAGTTGGTGGTCGCTTTCTAGGGTCTACTTGGAATCGTCCAACAAATATCATCAGGAGTCCGAGATATGATGCCTTATGATGTCATCTCTTCCAGGTTAAGCCACGTGGTGTTGAGCCATGCTACGCGAGCTTTCGCCACGCACTACCGTAGGGCATCATCAGGAGTGAAGATGCCTCCGGTTGTGGGTGGCGAAAGCTTGAAATGCTCAATGAGCGGCTCGACCCAGACGCACCACACTGGGCTTAGGAGTCGCTGCGGGCACCCACGTGCCAAATCTTCTCGGTGTCACGGGAGCGTGGCGAGCGTGAAATGTGTAACCGTGCAGCAGCGGTTGCACTCTGCAATGAGTTGCACGCGAGTGTTTTGTTTTCAATGATCAACCCAAATCACCCCGACCTATTACAATTTCTGCACGGCGCATGCGATCGATACGAATGCATAATTGTGAAAGATCAATTTTGGACAAGGCCTGCTCCTTGGTAAAATCGCGGCAGCTCTGCCGTAACATTTCCCACACAATCACCAACTGACAAAGAAAAATCCCTAACAACGCTCACGAGGCAATGACGCACCGTCACGTGTTCGTAATAACCGCGAGATTTCAGTTGGTCAAACACTCGGAGATTCGTTCCTTGGCAAAAACAGCACAAGGCTGCGCGTTTGGTTTTGGTAAAAAAAATAAAAGCTGAGCATTTCTCTCATTGCTGTTCCCCCCCACTCCACAGCTGTTTGTGGGGCTGGGCTTCCCGTACGAGGGCCCCGCGCCGCTTGAGGCCATCGCCAACGGCTGCGTCTTCCTCAACCCTCGCTTCCGTCCCCCCAAGAGCAGCAAAAATACCGACTTCTTCAAGGGGAAGCCCACCCTGAGAGAGGTACGCGAGCGAGCGACACCCCATCGCGGCGCGCCCCCTCGCTGCCCACGGAGCTGTCGGCTCGAGCGAGCAAGCGGCCGTCCCTCGGCGCTCGCCATTGCCAACGAGGCCCCTCCGTGCGCCGACGCCCAGATCGTTCGCGTCGCGTGGCCTCGAGCCCGTGGGGACGGCGTGTCCCTGCGCACGCTCATCGCCCTGGTCTAACGGTCGCCACATGTGCCGGTTTTCCCACCATCGTCCTCTTGCAGCAGCAGCAGCAGCTGCTGTCCTGGGCAATAATTGCGTAATGGTTTGTCCTTCATCCTTCTTTCGCACTGTACGTAGCCTGCTTGTGCCAATCGGAGGTGCGGGGGGAAGGACAACAAGGACAACGTCATACATATTATAAATAATAGCAATAATACACCACGCAAGACTGTGTTCCCCCTTTCGGGATTGTGAGATATTGTTCTTCTCGGAGGTGACATCCTTGGCCCACGCCGCGATGCCGGTTAGACTTGATTACCCTCGCCCTGCCCACCTCTGTGAGACGATACGGAGGCAGCGTAACCGCTCGGGCAAAGCAGGGACCTGCCCCGGCCTGGCCTCGACGCACTTGGCGCTTTTGTTTGGTTCCGTCACGTGGCGCTCTCGTGTTGCGAACCTGTAATTCAGTCGCTCGTGTAACCGAGTCGACTCGCTGAGTCTTAGTCGCTTTCACTTTTCCCGAAGTAATTAAGGGTGGGGTTTTAATTATGCAACATTTGAAAATTACTGACCGCTTAGTTCACATAAGGGTAGCTTACTAATAAGGCCAGTTATTTTTAGCAATTGTATTTATGCCAATTATTTGCCCAGGAAAGCTTCACTGAGTCTGTAGACTTTTTAAGGAGGGTTCTGGATTGGGATGTTTTGTCAATACCACTTATAAGTGCTTGACTTGTAAGAGGTAAATGGAGGGTAGAGAGAAAACCCGCTCATACGAGGGGAGAACACTTAAACTCTGCACAAACGGATGCAGACTTAGTCCACTGAGTACACCAGATGTAAGGGTGTACTGCACCTATCACTGTTCTGCCATCTCCCGACACGTGGCAGTCTGGTGCCTGCAACGCATCTCCCGTCCAGGCACTCGCTGCCTCAAGCCTGCTTAGCTTCCCAGATCCAACGAGGTGCAGAAACCAATATTTGCGTCGTTCTTCGTGGACTCTCATGAACCCTGCGGGCCGAGCTACAGACACCGTACCCACAAAAAGCGTTCTCTCTTGCTGGCGACCAGATGCAGGATAATAGCCATTTTAATGAAATTGATGTAGTTGAATGTGGGGAGTCCGAAAGAGACTCGTATCCCAAAATGATAAAACATTAAACGTTTAAAAGTGGAGGAGAACTCAAACTCGCGCTGATTGAAACGGGCTCGACGAGCCAATTAGAATTGAGTGACGCGCAAGAATAATGGAGCGTTGCGCACTGCACGGATGCCAAGCGCACATCATCGCGATGCGTTTACAACTTGCCCGTGGCTCACCCTCGTGCCGTGCCGTCTCGCTGTGCCGTGCGTTCCCACTCCAACGTCTCTCCCCCCTCTCCCCGTTTGCCGCTTGCCCGCCAGTTGACGTCGCAACACCCGTACGCGGAGGTGTACATCGGCAAGCCTCACGTGTGGACGATTGACATCGACGACCCGCAGGAGGTGGAGGCGGCAGTGCGTCAGATCGTGGCACAGAAGGTGAGCAACGCACGCTGGCATCGACTCTAACCAACACCGACAACACCACAACCACCAACCAACCACGGCGACCACCAACAAATACCAACCACCAGAAAAAAAACACCAACCAGTACCGCCGCTGCTACCAGCACAAACCGTGAACACAGCAAAGTGCCATCACCGTGTTCAGCACCACTGTAGGTCATCACTCGCCAACAACAACACCAAATATCACCTATCAATAGCACCACCAGCACCACCAATCTAAACGCCAACCAGCACCACCACCCGAGGATGCCCTGGGACTAATTGGTGTTGCCCTGGCTGCCCCGGCTACACCCGTGGCTTATTGTTGTCGCTGTTGTTGTTGTTGCCATGGTCGTTGTTGTTGTTGGTACTGGGCGCTGGTTAGGGTAGAGAAGGCGCCGCCTTCTCTACCCTAACGTCTCTCTTCGGTGTTCATTTTTGTCAAGCGCCTTAAAATGCAATTCCATGCAGATGTCATAATAACGTGTTGAAATCTTTGTTCCTGTTCTTGTTGTTGTTGTTCCAGCAGTCTGCACGGCTTAACGGTAGACCCGTCACCTTTCCCACGAGCGTGGATGTGCGTATCTTTGTGCTCGCCCACAGCACTTGCCCCAAACAGTCTGTTAAGGCTATTCGGGGGGATCTTTGTGCATTTGCCCTTGGGTAGTGGTGTGTGTCTGTGTGTGTCTGTGTGTTGGGGCAGCGGCTGGTGGTGGTGTGTGTCTGTGTGTGTCTGTCTGTGTGTTGGGGCAGCGGCTGGTGATGGTGTGTGTCTGTCTGTGTGTTGGGGCAGCGGCTGGTGGTGGTGTGTGTCTGTGTGTGTCTGTCTGTGTGTTGGGGCAGCGGCTGGTGGTGGTGTGTGTCTGTGTGTGTCTGTCTGTGTGTTGGGGCAGCGGCTGGTGGTGGTGTGTGTCTGTGTGTGTCTGTCTGTGTGTTGGGGCAGCGGCTGGTGGTGGTGTGTGTCTGTGTGTGTCTGTCTGTGTGTTGGGGCAGCGGCTGGTGGTGGTGTGTGTCTGTGTGTGTCTGTCTGTGTGTTGGGGCAGCGGCTGGTGGTGGTGTGTGTCTGTGTGTGTCTGTCTGTGTGTTGGGGCAGCGGCTGGTGGTGGTGTGTGTCTGTGTGTGTCTGTCTGTGTGTTGGGGCAGCGGCTGGTGGTGGTGTGTGTCTGTGTGTGTCTGTCTGTGTGTTGGGGCAGCGGCTGGTGGTGGTGTGTGTCTGTGTGTGTCTGTCTGTGTGTTGGGGCAGCGGCTGGTGGTGGTGTGTGTCTGTGTGTGTCTGCGTGTGTGTTGGGGGAGCTACGCCACACACCCAGCGGTCCTGGTTGGATTCCCGGGCACGGCTCGTGTCAGCGTCGCTTTGTTTTGTGTGTCCCCCCCCCCCAAGACGGAGCCGTACATGCCGTACGAGTTCACGTGCGAAGGCATGCTGCAGCGGGTGAATGCGTTCATCGAGAAGCAGGTAAGGGACCCCCGCGTTGCGCGCCAAAGGGGCGCCCCACGTGGGCCGCAGGGAACGGAGCTGCGGGCGGTCCCTCCGTGCCCTCTTCTCACATTGCCGAGACCCCCCTACCCCCCCCCCCCCCTCCTCCCCCCTTCCCTCCCCCCACCACGGCTCAGGGGATAGAAAATAAATCCATACTTCACAGCAGGCAACGTTAGAGCATTTCCAGAATCGGTATGAATTGATTTTTTTTGCTCTTTTGGAAGCTTGTTATCTGCCAACTGTGGCAGCCAGCGCTTCTCGCTACTTATTTGTAATTAGTAGCTTTGTAACATCGCATCGATCCGCGGATTAAAATATTTTCTGACGCTTGCGGTACGTGCTCTGAAGCTCGGTGCGTAAGAATGCATCGGTTGCCGTTTGTGCAAAATTATACGCCTGTGATTTGCTGACGTTGCATTTAGGCGTACCCAGCGAAGGCAACTGTACAAATGAGAACACGTTTAGACGTAATGGAAATGAAAAGATTTTCAAAAATGTGTTGGGGGGGAAAAAAGCATTGAATGTTGATTCAAGTTGCATTCCCTGAGTTGTGACGATTCATTTGATTACTTAGGAGGATGAATTGTGACACGTCTGATAGTTAGCATCCTATCATCTCTCCAAGATCGATAAAATAGGTAACAACTTGTGGGAATTCTGCAATGGTTGTACTGTGCAGGCATTGATCCATAAGACATGCTCTGTCTGCTATTTGAGACCACCATTCAATGCACATTTGAGTGGCTTTTTGTTGTAAGGGTTGAAGTTCTTTATCATGATGATTCTTTTTTTACTCATGAGTCTAGAATATCCCAAAGTTGTATGTATGTTCAACTTATTTTGCACCGTACATTGCCAAACTGTGTGATGGGTTTATATTCCCATCCACTGCACTTGTTCCATTAAAAAAAATGCAATACGAATTGAAGCATTTTTATCAGAGTGAATTTGTGTTTAGAATTGAAGTGTTTAGTAAAAGCCACAATTTTGGTACCATGGTAATGTAAATGTTTAATTTTAACAGAGTCCGTGAAATTTTGGAAATAGCCGAGGTGATTGTTGGTGCGTGCACCGCGCCGTTTCTCCTACAGGACTTCTGCCATCAGAAGCTGCTGTGGCCACCTCTGAGCGCCCTGCAGGTGAAGGTGGCCCAGCCAGGCCAGTCGTGCAAGCACCTGTGCCAGGAGAGCCAGCTGATCTGCGAGCCGACGTACTTTGCTCACCTCAACAAGGAGCAGGACCTTAGCCGGTAAGGCTTCGTCCATTCACCAATAACAAAACTTCAGACTCGTGAGGTGGCCCGGACGCGAGGTATATATCTGTGCAGGCTTGAGAGTTGTTTGTTTTTGGGTTTTGTCTTCCGTCGTTATTGAGCTCGTTTACCCGGGAAAGCCTCGCTGACTCTCAAAGGGGGACACCCTTTTCAGGAGGGTCCTGCCAAGGCTTCTCAGCGGGGGACGGTGTTGTTGCACGTAATCTCAATCGAGTAATTTGCGTCGCATTATTTCATAATTGGGATGTTTGGCCAATACAAGTCACATTTTACCTTTATATTTTTGTTAGCTATGTGAGGAAACTTGAAAACCCGGAGGGAAAAACCCCTGCAGAACAAGGGGAGAGCACACAAACGCTGCGCAGAAAGGCACCGAAATCGGGAGTCAAACCCAGGCGCTTGTGGCTGCGAGTGGGACCGAGTGTCGCCGTCGCAGCCGCCTGACGAAACATTTCCCGATTTGACTCTTGTGCCCCCCATTGGCAGCGCGCGGTGGCTTCTACTATCATAAGTAGTTTCCGGCCGCCTTAAAAAAAAGCCCGTTTTACGTCAAACAGCAACTCTCTTTGGTAATTGCCTTTTGAAATCTGCAGGCTGCCGTGGGATTCGAGGATTTCTGGCCGACGTAAATGGGGCTCAGTGGCCGCTCGGCTATCTCTCAGTCGCGTTGACGCATCCGAGACGGATCCGCTTGATATACCACGCAGCCCGTCACCCGGACGTCCGCTCGTTTCGTAGGAATTGGCAGAGCACGGGGGGTTGGGGGGAGCACATGGACAGACTGGCACTTCTATTGACCCGCGTGAGCAGGGACACCGTTCTTAATAATTACCGCGTGGGTCTTTTATAGAGTGCACCACGGGGTCGTTAAGATCCCAAGAGTGGGGAGAGGAGCCAAGATTAAACATCTCATCTGGAAGGGAGCCTCTGAGGCAGCGCGTTTCGTTCTCTAGCGTCACGCCGGAGACGCCACTTGGAGCTCCGGGGCGTGAACTTGTGATGCCGAGAATACTCTGGCTTTATGCGGCAAAACATGGCCATCTTCAAGGTCCTCCATGAACCCACTCGCTTGCTTCCGCACCTCTGATTAGCACGGTTGACTTCGTACTGTGCGAAAGAAGTTCAACGTACATTTCTAAGTCTACCTCTCCTGTCGCAGCTTAACTCGGCTCCCCCTCTTGTCCCCTTTGCTCCAGCAACGGCGACCTTCTGTCAGCCCCAGTAATCTGCCGAGAGTGAGGCCTTCCCGAGTCAACTAGTATACTAATCATAAACGCTTCTCTCCATGAGTGGGAGGTCGCTCCTCTGTTGTACCCAGGGACTGGAACCCCCCTCCCCTTTGCCGTCTGTGCTGTCGGCTCCCTGCCCCTGGTCAAGTCCAGGCTCAAGACCTTTCCCCTAATCCTCTCTCTGCCCGACTGCCTTATCTATTTAATTTTTAAAAAGTTCATTGTGTCCATTATTAATGTTCCGCCTTGTTTCCCCATGATTAATGTATCCCACTTTTGCACAGCATCTGGAGAAGCGGTCTCGGGTGCACGCCTTGCGCGTGCACGCCTTGTGCGTGCACGCCTTGCGCGTGCACGCCTTGCGCGTGCACGCCTTGCGCGTGCACGCCTAGCGCGTGCACGCCTAGCGCGTGCACGCCTTGCGCGTGCACGCCTTGCGCGTGCACGCCTTGCGCGTGCACGCCTTGCGCGTGCACGCCTTGCGCGTGCACGCCTTGCGTGTAAATTAAACGTTGACCCCCATCGCCCTCGCGTCGCACAACCAACACCACCTTCTGGTGGAACCCGACCCCCTTAGCCTTTAAACGACTGAAACATCAAACTGTGCCATAATCTCCGAGCATCATTTATTTCCGTGCGATAGCTCAGCGTACGAGGCTACAGAAATATGACTTTATTGAATGTCGGTTATTATTTTCTCTTGAGGCTTTTCCATATGAAAATGGATCCTTTCATTTTGTCCGGGCAGCTCGGGGTTGACACGGCAACGTTCACACGCGCTTATATATGTATTAATTGGTGTGTGTAGTATTATAAGTTGTTCGTTGTTGTGGACCTTCCTTCCTCTTCATCCATGAATTCACTCCTGATCTCTTGCGTTCTCGTCTCCCTAACTTCCTTCTTTGCCGTGAATATAGAACGTCTCCTCTTGTGCGTTTTCCATCATGTACATGCAGCGTCTTGAGATGCGATCTCATTTAGGCGCTTTATACATTAAAATTGCCTCGTGTGTAGTAGTCCTAGAGATTAAGAGTGCGCACGGCGAGGTGCGTGCTTGGAATGACAATGAGAGACCGAGAGGCACACCTGGGTTAGAGAAGGCGCGCACGTTCGAGACATTGTATTGACAGCTCAGAACGTGGGGCTTGGGCAGGAGCACGCTGTTAGACAGTGCGACGTCCGGTAGTCAAGACTAGGGGGAGGCCTTCATTCGGTCGTGGATAGCTCATTGCTGAGGCTAATGAGCAGTTCTTTGAGTTTCATTTATTAGGTTTTGCCCTGTGAGCCATGCGGCTCTCGACTCGGGTGCAACCGCAACAAACAAAAACATGAACAAAGAGCATCTTAAAGTGACTACGCGCAACAGAAAAATCCAGGAAAAACACAGCAAATCTTGACTTAAAGCTTTGGTGACTGCAGGAATTCATATTATTTGGGTTTTTCAGTAAAGTCACGTAGATAGGTTCAATAATAAGTTGTTTTCTGTTATTTTTCATTATTTTCTTTGAGCCTATCTACGTGACTTTACCGAAAGACCCAAGAATATAAAAACAGCAAAGTAATGATAATGGCCTAACAACCAAATCGCCCTCAATATGCCGTTTCTGGGAATTGACAATAACTAATCCAAGTACTAACCGGGCTCAAAGTTGCTTAGCTTTCGAGATTCGATGAGATCAGTCATATTCTGGGTGCTTTGGTGGTGAGGTCACCATCATCATCACCATCAGCCATGATCAATCCACTGCTGGATGAATGCCTCCCCGAAGCCGCTGCCGTTTCTCGTGTCTCACGGCCTTGGGTTGCAACACAGTCCGTCTGGAAGTCGTCGTCCTCTGATCCGCGTTCCCAACTGTTTCTGCCACTCGCGTCGTCGTGAGGCTCGTCGGCAAATCTTCACCGCGTCGAGAAAGTGCCTGGCGGCAATTGACGGAGCGCGTTGCCGGCGTGCCGTTGCAGGCACGGCGTCGAGTGCGACTCCGCGGAGGTGCAGAACGAGGTGTTTGTGCCGGCGCTCGAGTCGGGCCGAAAGAAGTGCCTCCTGCAGGGCGACTACCTCCTCTTCAGCTGCGCCGGCAGCCACGACACGCACCGGCGAATCTGCCCGTGCCGCGATTACATGAAGGGCCAGGTGGCGCTGTGCCGGGACTGCTTGTGAAGGACTCGCGACCCGCCGCCCCCGACCCCCTCGCTACGATGCCGGACGGCAGGACGAGTCGCATCCTGAGGGGGAGGTTAAGCGCAGGATTTCTCCATCTCTTTTTTCGCGTCGATTTCATTTTTTGTGACCGAGCCGTTTGTGCTTAAGCCTTAACTCAACTACCCAAATGGATTGAAATTAGTGTTTTGTTTTGTTTTGAGAGGAAAAAAAATCGCCCCAAAACAAGGCAAAATGTGGCCGTCTGCCTTGTTCCGTTTTGTTTTCATTGAGCATCGATTGTGGAGCATCACAAATGACGATCGCACGGAGGAAGAGCAAACGTGACCTCCGGACCGGCGGGTCGCTGGTACAAGTTGGATTCGGGGGAAGGTGATTTAACAGCCCGATTTTTGGGGAGCCCGATCAACAACTGAATCTGGTGAAAGCCGGTGGAAGACCCGGAGTGAATGCTGCCTCGCGCTCACGGTCGAAAGCGGAGGAGCTGCCCTTTGCCCGTCACGCTGCGGGGGGCTTAACGTGGAGCGCCTCTCCGGCTTTACACGAACAAAGGACTCTGCCCGTGCACATCTTTAGCGCATGCATCACGGCGTCCCGGCGTGCCGCGGTTAAACGGCGGTTCGTGTTTTCTACGTTGTGCTTGGCCATGTCCTCCTCCTCCCCTGTCCTGCCACCACCAATCCGCCCCTCCTGTTACTGCTGCTGCCCCTTCCTGATCCACCGAACTTGCGTCTTCATACTCCCGTGTACATTTTAATATTCCTGGAAGGCAGAGCTGTTCCACAGCCTTACGATATTTACATGATTCCATGAAAACAGTGAACTGAGGAGACGCTGACCTATCTCCTCGTCTTTGGGATCTTTTCCGATCTTTACTTTTGTGTATGAGTCTCTTTACATTGTTAATGGATTATTGTTTTTTATGAAGAAACTGGACAGAGATTGGCATTTCTTTTTGTCCTTGTAAATGTGTAAACTCGCGATAGACAGGAAATCTATATATGAAATGTATTGTTTGGTTTGTCCGGTACAATCACGCAGGCACTCGCACTTAACCGAGAAGTACGTTCGAGTTTAAAACTGTGTCCGTGGTACAGAATTGTCTTTCGAGGTGGTTGGCGCAGATTTTGCGGCGTGCGTTTTTAACGTCAAAGGTACGGAGTGCGTTTGGTAGCGCTGCTCTGTTACCCACGATGCATGAATGAAGGCAGACGCGCATCATGTGAGCGTGGCGTATTTATTACGGTGTAACGCGGTACATCTGCTGCCGCCGCTGCTGCTGCTTTGTGAGATGAGCGGCACTCCGCACGGTTGGATCGGCGCGTCGTCATCCGCTGGGGCTCGCTGCGGCGGACGCTGCTGCTCCGTCTCTGCGCGTGGCCTGAACCTGCGGTGGGCGTTCCAATTCACATTGCAGGGCCTCCCGCAGACGCTTCTCCGTCCCCATTGGGCAAGCAGTTGCTGCTGTAAGTGACGGTACACGTTGGAACAGGAAATGATAGTGAATGCGTTCTTCAAACTGAAGCAAGCGTTTTGTATTTATGCAATTGAGATAGATTTTTTTTTTACGTTTCTCTGGAATTTGCGTGACGTGCGCGCTTTGCCGGTGTCCCCGTTTGGTTACGATCGGTGTCGCGTGTTTGGCCGACGGAGATTAACTCTCTCACACTCACAAGCTACTGAATTCTGAGTTCATACACTGCTCGTTCTCTGCTTTGTGGCCGCGTTCGAACGGGGGTTGAGCCAGGCCCCGGCTTTCATTCGCGTGCGCGAGGGGGGGGGGGGGAGGTAGGAAACAAACATCACGGGAGAAACTAAATTTGAAAACTGAATTGAATCATCCCTCTTGCTGCCACCACCGCTTTGAATCAACACCACCACTCAGCGGCCTTGCATATGCGAGTCATAGTCGTGCCTGTCACACGGCGAGTGAGCGAGTGTGTCGGACGCGCACGTGAGGATTTTTCTTGCGTGTTGGGCCAGTATTGGCGTGTGTTCTTTCTAATGGCTTGATGTTGTTGTGTTTTCTTCGTCGCGATTGACCGATAGCTTGGAGCTTAATTTGGCAGAGCACTGCAAAGCCCAAGGCAGGTTGGGTGCACCTCCTGAAATAGATGAAGTAGCGTTGACAGGCTGTAGTACAGCAGCATTGTTGTGAAGCCCTTCGTGTAGTTGTGATGGTGGTGATGCATATATCAAGACATTGACTGCCATGTAGGCATTTAGCGATGCGTCATTTCGTGGATTCAAATCGATCCTGATGCCCACGAAACATGCATTCAATCATGTGCGTGTACAAATCTGTTGTTTATACAAAATGCCTTTATATTTTAGGCTAATGTAGTGGAGAAAAAAACTAAACACCAGAAAATACAAATCATAAGATAACAATGAGACAATTCACGGAGTTGCTGGAAAGATGAATCGTAACATGCCTACTATGGAGTACTATAATTACCTCTTTATAATTAACACATCTGCGTGATGTTATTCAGGCCGTGGCGGGAAGCCCCCCCCCGGGCTTTAACAGCCACGCACAAATCCAGATTGTCAACCGCTCGATGTTCATGCATGCGGCATGGCAAGGTTCAGGATTTACGAGCAAATGGAATTAATTGGTCTGACGAGCAGAGGCGGGAGAGTTCCCTGTGGCTACAGGGGTCTGGATTTGACTGGCCTCCTTACGTGTCGCTGTATAATGGGTAATACCCTCGAGAGTAATTTATTTGATGTGTATTTTTTTACCAACGGTTTTGCCGAAGTGCACCGCCTATCTCGCTAGTTCTGGGGGCGCCAGCAGAAGTTTGTCTCTGGACAGCGTTGTCTGGGATTGACGGATGATTCGCGACTTAGGTTAAGACGACATCTCACCCAGAGCAGCTACCCCAGCAGACCATTGGGGTTTCATATAGAAATGAACAACGACACAATCATGTAAGACAGCTCGGCACGGTTCAGTTGAACCCTACACGCAGAGACACAGCTCGGCACGGTTCAAACCGGCACCGCAATGACGGGTGGGATCGAATCCAGGTTTCGGCCGCCTGTGATTAAAACCATGTTCTCAAATGTAGCGAGTTGATTATCTCAGCCCAGTCACAAATGACTGCGCAAAAATACTCCATAAAATTTAAATTTGGTTCTGCACCTAGTCCGGCTAACTCCCAGCCGTACACCGTTCGCAACCACGGAGATCCGAACGAATACTTTGTCTCATGACATGACGCTGGGACCAAAACAAATACTGGAATAAAATTCTAAACTTTTAGAAAAACGACGGGCAGCTCGCCGGCCTGCTATAGGAGTTTTTTTTTTTTACCAAGGGAAACTACGGTAATGGGGGAGCTGTATTTTATCATGCAATGCCATCTTGTCCGACATTTCAGAACGTTAAGAAGTAAGCGTTTACGACAGACCGCTATTCAAAATGCTTGCGTGCTCTGAATGTGAAATGTAATGTCCGTAAGCAAGCGTGCCCTTGCAGTAGACATTTACCAAACAATTATAGCGTTGGAAATGTTAACATTCTAAAGTTCCAGCCTGGTTTAAATTTCACTGCGTAAAATTCCCAAGTGTGGAAAACTGACTCCGATGGTACATGGACATCATTGTTTATTTAATCCGTTATTTTGGCATAAAATGCACAATCCGAAAAAAAGACATGAAATTTTTTTTCTCTGGTTTATGGAAAGTCTGTAAAAATCTAAACACGGAACGCGTCTCTGGCTTTTATATATACTGTTATCGTAATATCGTGTTTCAACTACATTGTGTATGCTCTGTCCTATACTTACAAATGCGTGGCAGTCTTCTTGGGTTTCATAGCCACACTTAACTCGTTTCAAACTTGAATTTGTTTTCAATTTTATTTTTACAATGACGATATATGCCATTATTGGTTGTCCAATTTGAGTAAAAAACCATGGTATATTGGCGTGTATTATATATTTATTAATGAGGTTAGGCTTTATTTTGTTCCAGGTTTATTGCACTAGATTCACCAAAGCGGCGAGGCACCCTTGGCTCTGGGCAATGAAAGCGACGTGCGTGCAGAGCCCTTCGACAGCCCTCGCCACCGCGGCTGAGAGGGACCACTCCGGTCGCGTGGCGACTTTGACACGGGCCCCGCTGCAAGGAGTCAATTGGGGGGGGCTGTCAAACCCCCCCCCGCCTCCCTCTTTGTAGCCGATGCCTGGGGTCCCCTCTGGCCCTAAGGCCCTGCTGCTTCGTTCTGTAGCTACGACACTCGCTTAAACGTTAAACGAGCTGTGCATGGAGACGGTGATGGGGGGGGAGGTCTGTTTGGCCATTGCAGGACCGCTGTTTTGACGACTTCTAACGGAGTGTTAATTCTCTTAATCGGCCCTGGAGGGGGGGGGGGGATGCTGAGCCGAGTCGATCTTCGCTGGGATTTCAACTCTCGCAGTCTTTCCATTCATTACGAGCTCTAACCAGAGCGGCCCCTGTCTGGAATTGGTTACATCCATACATACGTGTGTATATATTAACCTTATGGCGGGACCCCGGGGTCCCATAAGCCCCGGGCTCTACACGATGCGCTAATCAAAGTTGTGTTTCTTCTGCGCGTGTCGTCCTCGCTGCTGCGCTTGGACGACACGACAACAGAACGGTCCGCGCCAGGCGGGTCACGGCGTTTATGTGTGCAGCGGGACAGAGTCGCCAAAAATAAATTTATTAATTACGATTTTGACTTCCGTTTATTCGGGGGCCCCGGAGTCACGCCATCAGGTTCATATACCGACTCAGTCGAAGATAATTATTCTCCGTGCTTTTGTCTCATTGCCCAGCCACTGGATTGTGGGTAGCTGTTTCGGTCAGCAGTCACCCACCGCGCTACCGTCTTGTTTCCTGCTGTGTTGACTAAACCCAAAGTCTCTCTCTCTCTCTCCTCACCCCCACTCTCACTCTCTCGAGCATTGCAATGCTTGGGGTTTACGCTCTCGACAAACTAACGTCAACATAACCGTGCCAGCGTCGTATTCATTCGTTTTGATTTGCTATTTCTACAGGCGTATTGCGTGCCTCGTTTCGTAGTGACGTGGACATTGCCTTATCTCACACACACACACCCACACCCACACACACCCACCAAGCCTGCCTGCCTGTGTAGCTCGGTGTGTGTGTGTGCGCGTGATGCTCACGCCGGTCACACAACCGAGCCTCGCCATCGTAGTGCGGCGGTGCCATCATCGCGGCGCAGACTCCCCGCGCGTTTTCGCGTCGCGATTTTAAACGGTTGTTGTTTATTTATTTGCGTGGCTTTTCTGCGGCTGCGGCGTGTGGTGCCATCGGTCTCGCTGATGATCGGATCCGTAGCGGGGATCGTCAAACGCATACCTCGGCCAACTTGCACCGTGAGCTGCAGTCACAGTTTATCTGCATATTATTATTGTTGTTTGTAGTGTACAGTGGCAAGACATTAAGCAAAAAGACGGAAGGGGTGAAATGATGAGCCAGGCAACTCGTGTCGCGTCTTCGTTAGGCGCATGCCCAGTCTTAGACTATCAGTGTCGGTACGCGGGCCGTGGCCGGATCTGTAGAATAGGATAATAAAATCCTCTAGAACAGGACTTCTCAAACTCCATTCCACCTTTTACACATTTACCAATCCATATACATCCATAACTACAATTTATACACATCGATGCACACACTAATTGATAACGACCGGAGTTTGAGAAGCTTTCCTGTGTAAACTAAAGGACGCAAGCCTTAACACTGAATACGATGTATATAATTTGCACATTATTTTTTTGTTTTTCATAAAGGCAATGATCAACTTTACAAGGTGACTCGAAAACAAACGTGAATTTATTTGCCGCATTAATTGCAGCTCGGTAGATAAGGGGAACCTTGAGACAAAATCGCCCCTGAAACGAAATTTCACCCGTGACACTCCCCCCGCCAAACGTCTTCATGCTCATCATTGCATCTGACAGGGAGCTCGTGGAGCTGGACACGACCCGTGCGCGATGTGGCGACAGCCGCGTTCATCAACGAGTCGTCGTCGGCGTGGCTTTGGAGGCCGCTCGTTGTCGACTCGAACTTGGACGTTCCGCACCCAAACCCCCCATCAGCTGAAATGTCACCAAGTCGCCGCTGCGGTCTCTCGCGCCACCTCTGAGCCATCACGCGCATGCGTGGCCGCGTGCGTGGCCGCGTGCGTGGCCGCGTGCGTGGCCGCGCGTGCGCGTTGCGGGATGGGTGACGCGGGCGGTCGTAGCGGGGGGGGGTGGAGCTGCTGTCGGCCGCGTCCCTTTATCGGGTGATTTTTTTTGACAGTGGTGGATTGTTGTTTTTTGTTAAAAACAATAAAAGAGAATAATCGTGATTGAAAAAAAACACTGAATAGGGTTTGATTTCTGGTGGCTTTAAAATACTGCACTCATTACAACTCCTTGGTGGGCGGATCTTAAGGGTGGAGGGTTACCAATACAAACATTACAAAAAAGCTATTGAATTGAACGACAATACTGTTTGGGTGGCAATATTGCCAGATTTACATTCTTTTTCTGAGCCTCTGAATTCATAACGAGGTGTTGCCAGGTCATGTTTGTTTACAGCTCAATCTGAACGCCACATTAATGTATAATATTTATTTATATTCTCGGCAAATCTGTGGGAGGAACTACATAAAGAAGCGCGAATGTTTTTTTTTTATGAGTGAGCAGTGTTGACATCGATGTGACGTACAGGCCCTGCTGGACACATTATTACCTACAGTTGAAATGAAAACCCATTGAATGCGCTCTGAGCGTCCTATAAAGGGGGCCTAATGGGCATCTTCAAAGGGAAGCTGCTGCTGCCGCTGCTGCTGCCGCTGCTGCTGCCGCTGCTGCTGCCGCTGCTGCTGCCGCTGCTGCTGCCGCTGCTGCGGCTGCTGCTGCGGCTGCGGCTGCTCGCGGTTCCTTGGGCCTCCCGCTCAATAGTCGCGTGGAAGCGGCGCCCTAAGAGGAAAGAAAGAGAGGTTTGAATGAAAGAGGTGTCAATGAAAGAGAGGTGTGAATGACGTGTGAATTAAATCAAGCGGCCGAGCCATTGAATTGAGACCACAGCAAGCGTTTGTTGGGGACGTTACGAAATAATCTACAGGGTGTTTCAAAATAAGGACCCGATTTGAAATCGCTATATCTCTGCAACCACGAACCACCCATGAATGAAACTCTTACCACGTGAAAGGGCGGAGCATAGAGTTCCAAATGATTACCGCTCGATGCCTCTCCCAGCGCACAAACAGCCCCTAGCCTCAGTCATTCGCAAGACGGCGACCCCGCAGTTCAGCAAGACTGAATCCGTAATTGCGGTGCAGCGTGCGTTTCAACGGCGTTTTGGCATTGATCCCCCAATGTCAAAGAGCATTCGTCGTTGGTGCCGACAATTAGAGGAAACGGGCTGCTGTTTATGTAAGGGGAAGAGCACAGGGCGACCACGAAGACGACACTGAGAGGCGTTTTGGACGAATTCAACTATCGTCTCGATAGTTATTGTTTCACTTCTACGTGACTTTACCGAAAGAACCAAGAATTTATAAAATGGTTAGTAAAACCTGATAACTCATTAAACCGTTTGTAACTTTTTGTGTAATTGTAACATGTTGCCATCGTGAAACATACTGCTTTGAAATTGGGTCCATTTTTTTGAAACACCCTGTACTTAAAAAAAAACCCACGAAAGTGTTTTGAGCAAAAGGTGTGTCGTGAATTTGATTCTGTCTGTGAACGTTTGTCTATAACTGCTCCACTTCGGAGACTTATTTAATTCAAAAACATTGTCGACATTTTTTGTTTAAAAAAATCGTTTTATTTGCTGGTAACTAATACAGTTGTAGCTGATGTCATGATGGGCTGTAGATCGTGTGTATATGCCATCACATCAGGGTCATCATTATTATTGATCATCACAATCTGGTCATAACTGCCTGTCAAGAATTTTAAGTCAATAAAGCTTACCTGCTCTCTGCTGTCATTGATTACAGAGGGCGGTGTTTGCTGTCGGTTGTAGCAGAATTGAAAGACTGCGAATCTCCTGTCGGCTGCTTCCCGACTTCCCTCGACGCGGCCATCACCCTGAGGCCCGACAGTGAAAAGTCTCCGCCATGGGGCAGCTGTGGCCGCGTAAAATAAAATGGGATGGGGCAAATGTGTACGTCTGCCGCAGCAGCGGGATTAATGGACGTGTGAAACATATACGAATAGGTGTTACACTTTCTGGCAATATAACAGTAGGTGTTAAGATGAGCAAACACCAAATAGATACCTTTCGCAAAGAATCAAGTCTGCATTAACCATGCGTCCTTGTGGTGAACATGCAAACGCACGTGCTCTTGACAATATAGAGTAGAAACCTATTCTTATTTTTCATACTTTGGTATTGGCAAAAAAGGTTTTGTGATATTAATTAACGTGTTGCCGTTTCAGGTTTTGCCTTCGTTGTATTTTTGCGGGGTAAGATGTGGGTAGGTGGTTGAGTGAGAGGGGGGTAACGTAGAGAGGAGGCTTTTGATTTGTGCAAAGATTTTGGAACATAAGCCATTGGTTGTGGGGTTGTGTGGCCACCACGGAAGGGCCAACATATCCAGGTGGTCGTGTTTGTGGCGTCACGCCTCGTGGAACGTGAATCGACGACGCACACAGACCGACCGCGATTTTATTGTTTTCCACGGAGAGAAGGAATACATAAGGGATGTATATATATTCTTGGTTCTTTCGGCAAAGTCACGTTGAAGGGAAACAATAAAATAATAAAATATATACAAACACAGAGACAATTTCAACCGAGAAGATGGATTCTGGCTTAGCAATCATTGGAAGGATTTGATAAACTATTTCGGGTCTTAATTGATTGTTCACGCTTACGGTGGCTTTCAGACAGCATACATTAATTTTTCGTCTCCCCCCCCTCCCTCCTCTTTTCCGAACATAGATGGACTCGTCCATCTAAACAAACTGTCAAATCGCTATCCGTGGTGCTAACGTTTAAAAATAAATAAATACAAACCGCCACTTTTTTCAAATGTTCTTGCCGTTGGTTTTCACACCTGATGATGACTGCTTGTGTTGCAGTCGAAACGTCGTGAGAATTTTATTGTTTTATATATATTTTATTGTTTCCCTTCAACGTGACTTTACCGAAAGAACCAAGAATATGAATCACTGCAGTCACGAAAGCTTTAAATCAAAACATAGGGGATGCTTCAAAAAACATTCCACTTATATGGGACTATCGTGTTTAATGGAAAAAGGGATACTACACTGTAACATTTACATGCAAATTCCATATCTAGCTCCGCCCACAGACTCTTGGGTTGAGCCCACCTCAAGCTGATATCACCTCTTGTTGCAGCAGCTTTCTCCTGCCTCAGCAGTTCTCCTGCTGTTTGTCTCACCTGATGACGATTGATTGTGTTGCGATCGAAACGTCGTGATCTATTGAGTTTCTAGCTACGTGACTTTACCGAAAGAACCAAAGAGTATGGATTCCTGCAGTCACGAAAGCTTCAAATCAAGATAGTTTCTACTTGTTCGCCATCATTGTCAACGCACGTGGCCTGGAAGCGTCTCCAGGCGGTCTCCAGAGCCCGGAGGCAGCAGCACATGCCACGTGGTGTTGTTGCAAATTCTCGGAAGTGTTCACATGTTTTTGAAGCACCCTGTATGTACGTACCCTGCTCCCATGAGGGTGACCTTGAGGGGCGGATGTCTTTAATTGTCCACGGATGGTCTCTTCAATGATTGTGAACACTTTTGTCGTTATATGTTTCCATTATTAAAATCATGGCACCCCCCCCCCTACACACAAAAAAAATAACACTTGTTCCCTGCAGTGTATCTTCTTGGAATATCTCTCCATCTTATAACTGAACGTCACATGAAGCGTTCATTATTCATCATCGCCATCAATGATTCACATGCTCCACTTCCAACAAACTCGGCTTCAAACACTTGCCGTCGCTCGTGTCCCCGGCAAACAGATGAGAAATAATTAAAGGCGCCTCCGTAACGATCGTCAGACGCGAGCGCGGGAAGAGCAGGACAACATGCTCTAGCCGGGCTCCTCGAAGTCTCCTCCTTACCAGCAGCCGCACGAGGCAAGCTGTGGCAGGGCTGCACCTTTGCCACCTGCGAGCGATCGATAAGAGCGGCACGTTCGTTCAACGAGAGGCAACGTCAGCAACCCCCCCCCCCCCCCCACCGTTTGCCGGACAGATTCATTAAAAGTGCACCGGCACCTGCTCGTGCGCGAGATGGCCCTGTCGGTTTGCGTTCCGCGTGTCCGTTGAAGCGCCACGGGAGAAGATGAATCTCGGCCGCTCCTCGGGCCGAGCGTGCCCAGCCAGCAGCGCGCGTGACCCACGGCGCGCGTGACCCACGGCGCTCGTGACCCACGGCGCGCGTGACCCACGGCGCGCGTGACCCACGGCGCGCGTGACCCACGGCGCGCGTGACCCACGGCGCGCGTGACCCACGGCGCGCGTGACCCAAGGCGCTCGTGATCCACGGCGCTCGTGACCCACGGCGCGCGTGACCCACGGCGCGCGTGACCCACGGCGCGCGTGACCCACGGCGCTCGTGACCCACGGCGCGCGTGACCCACGGCGCTCGTGACCCACGGCGCTCGCGTGCGTTCCTCGGGCACGGCGCGGGGTGGGGGTGGCCGCATGCTGCCGAGGGCGGTCGGCCAGGGCCCAAGTCGCGGTCGGCTCGTCACAGCTCAACTCCTTCGCTCCAAGTGTAGCCTTGAGAAAGCACGGGGCTCTTATCCCATTGTTCTCAGGCCTCGCTCCGGTCTCGGTCATTTCTTTTTCAGGGCGGTGGGGGGGGGTGGTCTCCTGCACCGAGATGTTTGGCCAATTTCACGAATAATTGCGTGGGATGTTTGAAGAGAAAACCCCACACCCGTAAAAGGGGATAAAACTCAAAGCTCCTTACAGATAGACTCAATAATTGTTTTCCTGTACTGCCATATGTCACCTCGTACCTCGTCCTAAAACAACACTGTATCCATTCGTATATCGGCGTGTGACTGTGAAGCTAATTGGGGGTGATAATGGAGCGAACCTTTTCCACTGTTAACTCGTTGCCATTCGTCTCTTTGTGTCACTGAGATAACATCGGACTTACATTAACTACAAAAACTCATGAAGTGCCTTGTGTGTGGGATTACAAATGAGTTCATGTGTGCATCCGATTGTGTGTGGTGTGGGTGCAGTCGTGTCGCCGGTAGCGCAGCGCGCGATGAACCCGTCGATCCAAGTTTGATTCCCGCTCATGGCCAACACCAGTGACGATTATTTGAATCGATCCTGGGCCTCCTCAAGGTCGACTCGGCCTCAAATGAGTACTCGGTGCGGTGTGTAAACATCGCTACTCAGGAGACAAAGGCGGCCCTCGTGTGCCGTGTCAGCCCTCAGAGGTGCCCGCTAACAGCACTTGCCCCTACAGACTGTCAAAAGCTGTACGGGGGGGATGGGGAGGTCGTTGTCTTTGGCGTGGATAGGACTCTGCGAGCTGTTCAGTGTGATGCGATACAAGTGGCTTTACATAGTCATACATGTTTTATTGTTAAAGTGTTTGTTACTCAGTTCATTAACTATTCATATGCCAATTGAAAACATTTTTCATTTCTAATTCCTTTAAGGCCCCATGGTGCAAGGTGCAGTCTCCATCTCTTATCCACTCTCTGACCTCTCATTCATGTGCTATAAAGGAAGCCCACTTCCCAAAACGTTGCCGATTATAGATTTTTGTTTTCCTTTTAAGGCCACACAGCGGTATCGACGGGCGAGGTGAGTGTTTTGTTCTTTGTGTTCGGCTTCACTCTCACAATCTGAGTTATACTTTCTATAACCTGCCACCTTTCTCTTTACAACTTGCACACATTACCAGGCATCTCAGCATTCTGCTTAGGAAAAGAAGAGGCATTGCTATTTTATTACAGTTGCATACAACAATACTACCCATGTGCAGTGTATGTGCAAACATACACACAAAATAAAATCGTACTTTTTAGAATCTTCTGGAAGTCTCGTAAGCCAGCTACAAATTATATTCTTCGATTTTTAATTTACGCCAATGCTTCCCAAACGTCCTGAACATACAGGCCACTGCCAGCCTGCAACGGTTCTGCAAACAACTTCCCACGGCTTTGCAGACCGCCAGTGGCCCACGGAGCAGAGGCTGAGGCCCCGCTGGTCTGCACCGTAAGTCTTTAACAAACTCGAAAACAAAAGACAGAGATATTTTAAGAGAGAGGCGTGATTCGTTGCGACCACAGCGCTTCACGTGTGGTCGAACGTCGCCTTGAAAACGACGACCATCGTCAAACTTAAGAATCGAGGAAACATTTCAAGAAGAGTCATGTCCATCCTTCAGGACCATTGCTTTGTTCCTTAATCTTTAACCTCTGAGCTTAATATTTAAATAACCTTAACCTTAACCTGGAAGTGTTAAAAAGTGCACATCAGCCAGTAATTCATCGATAACGTGTGCTGTGAGAATCCACGCTTGAGCTGACACCAAGTCACCTTCGACTGGGTAATAAGGACCGCTTGCTGCCTGAGAAGCCTCAAGCACCAAATCACTCGCACAGTCTCAAGCAACACATGGCACAGGTGGCATTCAACTCCAGGTGTACAACGCCAATTTGCGTGTATGGGGAAAAGGACAAGGCAGGAATTTGAAACTCGAGATGAATACCGCACGCGTTCTCCACAGATGCACTTTGACCAGCAGCATACGTTGTGTTTGCTTGTGTCACAATCGAGGGCGTGACCTCCATGGATCCCCTCGTAGGCTGCCGATACAAATCCACGAGCGTCGTCTGAGAGTGCGAGCCGAGCGCAGCCTCCACTGCGCCTCCTCCGCCATCAGCCGAGGTTCTCGTAGAGCCGTGCGCGCCGTACCCGAGGCACCATGTCCACCAGCAGCCTGTGGGCGACAGAGCCACGGCGCTTGCTCCGTGCGCGGGATGCCGCTGCCGTGCGGCACTCCGAATGCGCTTTGCGTGGTGGTGGTGGTGGCACCTGGCGCGACGTGTAAAAACATCGCTGCTCGGGAGACAAAGGCGTCCGGGCGTGGTGCTGGCCACCCACCCCCTCGTGTGTCGTTCCAACCTTAATAAGTGCTCGCTAACAGCACTTGCCCCAACAGTCTGTTAAGGCTGTACTGGGGGATCTTTGGCTTTCTTGTTACCGAGCATTGGGCTGAATTATCCTTTTTTTTTAAATGGTTAAAATGTTAATGGGCCAGCAAGTGATAAGCCTCATGAATTTTGTGGAATATATCGTATGAGAGAGGTAATTTCATTCACCTTTTGCAGTGAAAGCTATCAGGCGGCAGCATTCCAATGGTCTTAAAACAAGGTTCCGTAATTAACTTTAAGCTCCTGATATTCTCCTGAATTTGTTTCTTAACAGAGGGCAGCCCTCTGAGTGGCTGGGTGTATTTGTGAGCTAATCCCTAGAAAACAATTCAACAAATGACTCGCAGAGTGTGGTGACCGACTTGTTATAAAAACAACATCCACAGTTCTCGCGCTCTTTCTCGAAAACGACATCTAACTAGAAGGTGCTGTGACGGAGGAAACGCGTGTATGATTATTGCGACATATCCAAAGCAGATGGTGCACGTGGGCAGACGGAAAAGCAGCAGTCGTTGAGAGTAAATGACTATGGCTGTTTTTGCTACAGTTATTGTGAAACTGCAGATACAACAGATGGTAAATGCTATGGAATCAGGCGGCCCGAGGACAATAGACCACAATGCAATGTTCCTTGCGTCCCAGGTAACGATGCTATAAACTTACAACTCAACTCTGAACTACGTTTTATTTTACCAGGTAAGGCACTGAGTCATATCGCTCGCTTTCAGAAGCGACCCGCTATCGCAAATGATTGTTCAAGGAAGCGGCTTATCACGTGGATATTTTTAGCAGCAGCAAGTACTCTGAACGCGTGTTTCTCAATGTGGAGGGGGGAAACCGGACTACCCGGATAAAAATCCACGCGACCCCGGGGCGAGAGACACGCAAATTCAAAATTTACAGCAGCAGGCGTCAGGGTAGAACTTGAACCCACGACCTCCTGTGTACCAGGCGAGGAAGTTAACATCTCGCCACGCTGCTCGCACTGTGCATGCTCGGCTCGTTTGGTGTGCTATGACGAAGGGTCATTGACCGGAACGTCGCCTGTTATATTCCCATTTGAGGCAATGTTACCAATGAATGTGTTCAGTGTTTTTTTGTTTGTCTCTATTGAGGGCAGTTTGCTCCCCTCGTCTCCGCTGTGCCGTAGAGGAGGGGACCCCCCCCCCCCCCGCGTGTTGTCCAGCTCAAGCGATCCACCGCTGGGGCTCGGCGTGCCCGGTTGGAGACGCCGGGTGAACAAAACCCGGTGGTGGACTCGCCCAAGGTGGACGAAAAGCCACTGGGGTTGAGCCGAGGTCACCAGCCTCGATTCCACAGTGCTGCCCACCGGTGTTACAACTCTGGTGTCGCCACCCAGCCACCCGTGCTGTCAGATCCCTGCCCGATTCACGTCTGAGCCGTCATTGTTTTACTCCGCCTATGGCTATGCTGCCTCTCTCTGTTAGATAAGTGTGCCCACCGTTGCTTGCAGGGAGATGTCGCCGCATTTCGACTGCTTCTATTCATCCACATTGTGTCGTACCCCCATTTGTTGTCCACCCAGCGACTGGTACCGCCACCTGCTGGCCGAACCACTGCAATGCCTCTCAGAGCAGACTCCCGATGCAGGCGGCGATTTGCGTTAGTTTCGCCACTCTCTCGCGACCCTGCACAAATCTCGCCTCTCTTTTCGAGATTAAGTCATTACATGCCGTGCGTGCCCGATGATTGCTAAACGCGTACCACGCGTTTGGCAAGAGCGCGCGGGTTCAGATCAGGACGGAGATCATGCGCCTTGTGTTGCGTGCACGTGCATTCAGATTCACCTGCACCCTCTGCAGCCCTTAGGGCGTGTTTATCAGTAAGTCACGTGCACTTTGGGAATATTCAAGGGTCATATGGTTGAGAGGTGATCATCATCGTCATCAGCCATTGGTTGAACTCATGGTGGACGACGAGAGGCTGCCCAGGCCCTCGCCACCTCTCACGGTTCCAAGAGCTCCTTGCACACGAGCGGATTTCACCGCTCTGTCTCCTAGGAGCGCGACTCCTAGCGACGCGTTCTGCTCACCCGCGTCCTCTTAACAGTCGCGGTGACGTACGCAGTACGTTGAACCTCTTTCGCACCGTACGTAGCCAACCGCGCCGATCGGAGGTGCGCTAACCGCACGCGTCTCCGATCCGCGCGTGTTCCGCGTTGCGTTTTTCAGCTCAATTCTCTGCCGTTCTTCCTGTTTCTCTTTGGCCCAACGTTGGACGTTTACCGGGCCGCCGGCCGCGTGCCGGCCTCGGGCACTCACTTGACGCCGTAGCCAAAGATGACGAGTCCCATGAGAACCCCCGTGGAGCCGTCCAAGTACCAGATGTCGGGGTAGTGGTTGAACACCTCGGCGCTGGCCAGGATGCTGAAGCCCATCACGGCACCCACGAGCGAGTTGAACCCTGACGAAGCAGCCGCAGCAGAAGGGCGGCGTCAGGTGACACAGACACGCGTGAGGTCAGGGTGTAGGGGCCGTGGGACGGGAAGTTCAGGAGGGGTCATGGTGACAGGGCTGGGAGGAGGGAGAATTGTCCTCGGGCCGGATACTAAAGAGGACCCCTGAAACGGGCTTATTTGTGTCGCTTATGACCAAGAATGGGGGTGGGGGGCACGTGGCATCGTGTCCCGGGCCCCCAGCCCAGGGCGTCCAGGAGACTCTGGGCTGCCCAGGATGGTGGGGGTCGATGGTGGGGGGGGGGGGGAGATGCCGAGAAAGGGGGGCGTAAGATTTAGATTTCATCCTGACTGCCACTTGGATCTGTACCAGTTCAAGCGTATTGTGGCCGTGACCACTAATTCCCCGCATGTGACTGCACATTCCCCTGCAAGCAGGAGCGCAACTCGTGATCGCCGTTGTGCGTGTGTCAGTGCGTGTATCGCAGTGCGTGTGTGTCTGTGTGGGTCACACTCTGCCTTGACAGCACAGGCAGAGCAGTAGTGTAGCGGTGAGCGTGCTGCGCTACGAGCCCAGCGACGCGGGTTCCATTCCTGCTCACGGCCAGCACCAGTGACGATTATGTGAACCGGTCATGGGCCTCCCCTAGGTCGACTCAGCCTCTGGTGTGGGGTGTAAACATCGCCACTAGGGGGACAAAGGCGGTGCTGGCCACCCACCCCCTGGTGTGCCATTCCGGCCTTCATAGGTGCACTTGCCCCGACAGTCTGGTAAGGCTATACGGGGGATCTGTGTTTTTGTTACACTGTGTCTTTTGTCTTTGCGTGTATCAGTCTTCAATGAGTACCTGGTGTAGCGTGTAAACTTCAGCACTGGGGAGCCTAAGGAGTGAAGCCATCTGTGCGGACATTTGACAGTTATCTCCTGGTGCATGGGTTTTCTCCGGAAACTCCGATTTTCACTCTGTTACCACTCCCCACAATTGCTTCATATGATTATAAAGATGCAGCCCTCCATAAGGGTCTCCACTCAAGGATTCAGCTCCCATTAGCACGGTTGCCTACGTACGGTGCGAAAAAGTTAAAACATACATCCGTACAGACAGTCCATCTTAGAGGGTATTTGGCCTACTCTTTCACGCTGGCAATACATCTTGGAACAGTGTTTTACTTGTGTATCTATAAAACCCACAGAGGCGTAGAAATATTTTTTTCCAGGACGGTCCTGCTACATTGGGTTTCTATGTTCATTTTTGGTCAATCGCGAAAACTGATCATTGTGTCGTATCGTGGAAGAAACGAAATCGCGGCAAGCCTGAGCCGTAGAGGGCGGCAAGGAGTCCGCGCATAGCGGGGGACCTCACCGTCCGTGATGAGGGCGCAGCTCGTGAGCACCTTGCCCAGCAGGAACTTGCCAGCCGCAAGGAGGAGGCACAGCACCCCGCTCAGGATGGACACCGTGAACAGGAAAGTGTCCTTGCACAGCGAGACGCACACGCACGCACACCCAAGGGTGAGCTAACGGTAAATAAAGTACATTTGGTTTTCGTCTGCGAAGGCGTTACAAAGGTTTAAGATCATTATGGGAAAATAGGCTCTTGCCCACGATGGAGCTGAGTCGAAACGCTCGGGGGAGGAGGAGGTCGGGTAAAGCTTCGCTGACGATCTGTTTAGATCTACACGTGGAGCTAGGAGGCGGCGGGGGGCACAGAGGTCAGAGCGCTCATCCGGCACCGCTAAGATGCTGGGTTCAAATGGAGGCGGCCGCCCGTGATTGGACCGAGTTCTCAAGTGTAGCCAGCCGCTGATGGTCTCAGTCTGGTCACCAATAACTGCATTAAAAATAATAATATAACATTTAGTTATGCACTTGCTTCGGCTAAATTCCAGCTGTGAGAATTTTAATTGTTTAACACGTAGGCTTCCGCGACCAATATTACCCACAATAGAGGTTTCCTTTGGGTTAGATCGCGTGCAACACACGTATACTTATGCGATCTAACCCAAAAAAAAACGCGATTATGGAGAATTTGCCATATCAATGTTTCAGTCGCGTGATAACTTCGTGGCAGTGCGCGGACAAGGGCGCTCTCTGTACAAGATTAAAGACGCGACTTGAAGGCGTTTGAAAAGGTTACGCGAAAAATCTCTTCTCTGGGCCACTCTCTAATGCGTCGAGCCGTGCTTCTGTGAAAATTCCGAACTGATTCTTTGTCTCGAGATAGCAACTCGCGGGGATTAAAAGTGTGGGGGGGGGGGAACAGCCGTAAATTCTCTATCTCGAATTGAACTTCGAACCGCAGCGCTCCGGTGTGAGGCCCATTGAGCACGCTCGCTGGGAAGCTCCGTCTGGGGTCACTGCTGTTGGGAGGGGCTGAAGGCAGCCGATTGTAGAGGGAATGTCCCAAAGTACGGAGGGGGGAGGCGGGGATGGCCACTTTCCTTCCCCACACTTGCACACGACCGCTTTTTTTCAGACCATTTTCCAGATCTTTCATGAACGTAAAATTGTAAATAGTCGTCGGATCCTTTATTTAAATCAGAAGATTAAATAAACCGACAAAAGACACATTCTTTCACGTATATTTTTAGATACACGATGAAAACTTCAGGTATGGTCTATAAATTATATTGCCTGGCATGATTTGACTTTTTATGAACACTGAAGCAAATTGTTCCCTCCAAATGTTTATCTGGGTGTCAGTGACGCTTCTGAAAAGTCGTGTTTGATCAGGCAGCGTGGCGATGGCGACTGTTGTGGAACTCAAACAGAAACCATCGAATGAATGCTTCAAGATAGATTAAAGACATACCACGTGTGTGTCTCCCTCTGCCTTAGTTGCCTTGGGTAATTCATTTTTTGTAAGAGACAAGCGGTAGCTCTGGGTTTCAGACGCTGAAATCGGACTTCACAGTTCAGACCGGGTACCTCGTGGATCATTCCATCGCGTCCCCTCTCCCTTAACGAAACGTGGCACACACGCAAGAAGCAATGCGCGTGTGGCGATGTTTATACGCGACTCCAGCAGGTTTCACTTGACGATAATGAATCCTCTTGAAGTTTAAATTGCACTGCCAATTACAATTTGCATGGCATTCGGACGACATTGCAAGGGTGTTGTTAATCCGCATGCAGGTGCCAATGTTTACGCTGCGACACAGACAACTGTGGAATGATCCCAATACGAACGTCACGCCTATCCCAGTGTCAAGCGCTATTTAAAATTCCAGCCATTCTCAAGCCGCTACTGAATGAAGGCCTCTCCACGCAGTGTCCGTCATGGGATTCTGTGACTCCACTTCACCACGCTGGTCAATGCGAGTTGATGAAGGCGCCGGTGGGCACACGCCACCGATGTTAGCCCTGGCCCGGGATCGAACTCGGGCGGCTGGGATCAGTCGTCGCCATGATCACCGACTCGTAGCAACCCACGTCTACGATTAGACGCAGACACCCACGGCTACTTGCTTCATCCCAACAAGTACGCCAATCGAGCTGAGCACCCGACGGCCAAGGCCCTCGTCCCCGTCGCTCGGTTTGATGAGCCAATCGAAACTCAGAGGAGCAAGAGCGTCGGATGGAGCGTCGAGCGGAGCGGAGCAGCCGAGCGCGTCGAGTCCTCCGCGAGGGCCTCACCACGTCTGGGAGCATCTTGACGGCCAGGTCGTGGATGGCCTTCCCCTCGATGCACAGCGACGAGATGATGAAGACGACGCCCAGCACCACGCACGCCCTGCGGCGGTGGCAGCAGCATGAGGGGTGCCACGCGCGTTGCGGACAACAAGAGGTTAAATAAACGTTTGCATTGGCGGATTCATGAACCCTCTTGCCAGTAATGCAATATCCTGGCCATGTGTGTGTGTCTGTACGTCAGTGTGTAAGCGGTGTGCATGCAAGCCACGTCTGTTTGCTGAAAGGAAAGGACAATGAGCCTTTCCATCAACTTGTCATCAAGGTAAATATTTCCCTTTTTGTCAATTGTGTAACATTTGCTGCACGGTTGCATTTTACTCTGATAATGTTCGCTTGTAGCTGAATATATTTATCGAATTTCCTGAAGCGCATATTTTTTCTGGTAAAATAAATACACATCAAATACGTATACGCAAGCTACAGGGGCAATTGTACTTCCATCATCATTGCAATTATTTATTCAAAATATCACAATAAGAATGATGATGAGCTGGAGGGTGATGATGGTAATTGTGGTGGTCATAATAATGGTCGTGATGCGGGTGATGGTGCTAAAGGTCATGAATTGTGAGTGATGATACACACCACGCACAGACCACACACCACGCACATGCACACATCCCACACCACGCACATGCACACACCACGCACATGTACACTTCCCACACCACGCACATGCACACATCACGCACATGCACACACCACGCACATGTACACATCCCACACCACGTACATGCACACACCACGTACATGCACACACCACGTACATGCACACACCACGCACATGCACACACCACGCACATGTACACATCCCACACCACGCACATGCACTCATCACGTACATGCACACACCACGCGCATGCACACATCCCACACCACGCACGTGCACTCATCACGCACATGCACACACCACGCGCATGCACACATCCCACACCACGCACACATCCCACACCACGCATGTGCACTCATCACGCACATGCACACACCACGCACATGCACACATCCCACACCACGCACGTGCACACACCATGCACCACCCACACCACGTACACCACGCACACCACGCACACCAACCCACATGTACTCCCGCATCGCAGAGTGCACGGCCGCCGCGTTGCTGTAGCGCCACGCCACGATAGCAGAGGACAGCACGTCGAGTAGAGCGTCGAACTGTGCGGTGAGAGGCGGGGTGGGGGGGGGCTCATGTCAGAGAAACAACGACATCAGTGGTGATATTGAAACGCTGGGCGTTGAGAATGTGGCGTTACCCAGGCGGATGATAATATGAGCATATTCTTTGGGTCTTTCGGTCAAGCCACGTAGATAGAAAATTTTTTTTAAATATCACGACGTTTCGATTGCAACACAAGCAATCGTCATCAGGTGAAAACATAGCGAGAGAGCTGCACCGCTAAAAGGGAAACATCGTGATATTTTATTTATTTTTCTATCGACATGGCTTTACCGACAGACCAAACGAATATGATTTCCTGCAGTCACGAAAGCTTTAAGTCAACATGAGCATTGTTTTGTGGGAAGTTGACAGTCGTGGTGCTGTGGATAAACTGGCTCTGGCCCGAGAAATATGTAATTTCCACTCCTGGATCTGGGCGCATGCGTGATTGACTTGATTCGCAAGAGTGCCTGATAACAAGTATTCATTTTTACTTTAATGGAGATGTATGTACAGTATGTTGAACTTCTTTTCCACCGTACATAGCCAACCGTGCAAATCGGAGATTATTAATGCCCCATGCTAATTTGAGCCGAGAGGCCTGTATGGCTTTTTACTTTCTACGACACAGTAAAGAGCATTGTCTCTCCGTCACGTGCAACGAGTTTAGTAATCATCTGGCACGTAAAGCGTGTAACGACTTAATTCCTACTGCATTTGGAACGGAGAAGACTGTTAAACAAAGATAGGTGGAGCATTTATTCATGCATTGAGATTATTTACATTACTTTGCTGCTGTCAATTTGCACACGATAAGCAACTTTGGGGAACTATCGTTTGCAACCAGGTCGCTTCTGAAAAATAAGTTAATGCCTCAGTGGGCTTTGCCTGGTATGATGGGAATGGTTTAGATTGTTTTGAATGTTTAGGTGATTTGTTTACCTTTCTGTACTTTGCACTACTATCGTGTGTTTGCAGTGTCTGTTGTTGTAACCTTCTGACCCGCCCCTAATGGAAATCTGTGAGCTTTATAGCTCATCGGATTCCGCCGGTATAAATATTCTGACTCTGACATGCGTTGGCGCTAGAACTGGAGCTGGGATCGCCTGCTCTCTGCGTGCGTGTCTCTCTCAGCACATCGCAAATCTCCTAAAAAATATTGAAATAAACAAGTGAAACAATAAATCTCCTTAAAGTGTCCATCTCTATGTAAACAAATGTTTCTCAACAGCCAAGGTCTCCTGGGAGTGCATCATTTCAGAAACTTTATTCAAGACAAGCCAAGCACGGGTTTTGACACGCAGTGTCTAATCAGCAGTCAGGCTTGTCTGAATCTAAACAGAATCTCTGTATCTATCAAGGAGATATCCGATGAGATACGATGACCTTTTTCACAGATGTGCAGTAGGAACTGCTGGTGAACTGCCATTCTTACAGACAATGACCCTTCTGGCACATTGTGCTTCATAAACTCTGTCATTTATATTCTCTACAATAACGCTCACGATTATTTTTAGTTATCCTCAAGGACTGTGTTGTTACGCAGTGGTTTTAAGTTTCTGCATTTCACACGTGGATTGTGGAGTCATTCATCCAGCAGTGGATAGACAGTGGCTGACGATAACGGTGATGATGGCTCTATACGCATGATCATCATTGCCTCGAGGTAGTTTTGCCCTTGGCAGGTGAGTGAGTTATGAATCATTATTTTTTAGAGTAATATTTTTTTACAGATTACAGCTAACTCTATTGGAATATTACTTTTTAAATGAATATCTTTTCATTGCAGGCTGCTTAAAAGCGCATTATTCTCGACAGTTACTGCACACATGAAAATGCTTGTTGCACGTATTCACAATGCATGAGTACACGCGACAATTTTCCATTTTCTGACCACTCTGCTCTGGCTCCCCCATGTTTAACATTAACCATGGATACCTGTGTCTAACAGTAGCCATGGAGAGCCTTATCCATTAGTAGCCCTGGGGATCGCGGCTACACGACTGCACAAAGTTGTGTGGCCAGCTGCCACTCTGCCCCGTGCGTCCCACGCGCATGAGCCCAGGGAGGAGTCACCACCCCAGCGCGCTTCGTGATGCCTCCGCTTCGTCTCCAGGCGGAATTGGAAGAGTGTGGCCGCGTGCTGATGATGATATACATTGGCAGCTTTCGGGGAGAAATTTAATATCCGAGATCCCATTCAACTCCCTGCTTGTTCACTATCGTGAGATGTGGTGGCATTTATATGATAAAACGAAACATATATATAACTTACAGTGCTTTGTCAATCCACTGGTGCATTAATTCTCATTGAGGCTTGTTTGACCATATTTCACCATTCTAAGTTAGCGATTGGTGAAGAGGGAGAGGGACTGGTTCAGGTGTCGCAGACGTTAACCATGTCCGGAATTCGAACTCAGGTGCCCGCTTCATAGCACTGCTTGTCTGCTCACTCTTCACCAGCCCGCTCCCTCCGCGAATCATTCCCCACCCCCGTAACCGTGGCTTGTGCTCGTGTTGTTGTGTGGGTACGGACTGTGGTTGTGCTTGGCTGTGGCTCTGTATTAGTGTACTCACGCCAAATCCAAACGCTGACGCACTGGAGCGCATAGCAGACACCGCTGTGAAGAGAACAGATGGTGCACACTGCCTTGACAGTTCACGGACTATCGAGGCAATCGTTGCCAGCCAGCACCTATAAGGTCAGCAGCCTCAAGCCGCCTTTGTCCCGACGCCCGGCCACCGTAGCCTCTCCAGCCCCGTGCTGATTCGTTAGACATCGCACCAGGTACGCGTTTGAGTCATCCTTAGGGAGGCCCAGGATAGCTTCAGACATCCAGCGCCACTGATGTTAGCCATAGCCGTAAACCGAACACGGATAGCCGGCCAGATGTGTAGCCTATTGTACACACCACAACATTACCGCTCGCCACACAAAACAAAGATCCCCAGTGCAGTATAGCCTTAACAGGGGTGGTGTGGCCAGTTCCACGCCCGGCCGCCTTTGTCTCCCAAGTGCTGATGTTCACACATTGTACCAGGTACTCATTTAAGGCTGAAAACTGACGGGAGGGAGACCCAGGGGACCGGTTCAAACAATCGCCACTGTCGTACTGCGAACGGGAATGGAACTCGGGTCACCGGTATAAAAGCGCATAGCGCTAAACACCGCTGCTTTTCCACTTCCCGGACACACACAGATACACACACACATCCACTAATCAGAGTAATATGTGCAATCATGAGCAGGTGGCAGGGTCGTCCATCAGCGGTAGGACGCACGTGGACGAATGAATCTCGGCGAGATGCGGATGGGTTTCGTGCACGCGTCGTTCGCGAGGAGGGGGGCAGCCGCGCGCTCTTCCCACCACGGCGAGCGCTCTGCCGTGAGCACGTGGTTGTTGATGTGGCACCCGGATATATGACGGGGTGAGTGTGTGGCGAGTGAGTCGTTTGGAGCACGCGGCTTAACGCAATGCCAAATCGTATTTGTTGACGGTCCTGTTGCGTTGGAAGGGGTACGCAAGCAAAATAAAAATAAAAATTCTACACCGTGGCCTCATATATTAGCATATTGTACTCAATAATGCATGATCCCTATTATATATATTTCGCACCTCCGATTAGCACGACTGGCTACGTACGGTGCCAACGAAGTTCAACATACATAGATAATCGGTGATTCATAAATAATTCACCTGGAGTGTGACACAAAAGTCAATAAAAATCCAGAGAAGCCCCTGGCATCTCTCTACTCTGAAGAAGAACAATTTCCAGAAACGTCAGCCTATTATATATATATTTTTTTATATTTTAAGGCAGCATTAATGACTAACAATGAGAGTGTCTTGTTTTCACTTTATATTTGCGTGCCTGTACAACACGAGAGACAGGAAGAAGCGCCCATTGATCAGGGGGGAAGCAAATCAGAGAAATAATATAGACCGTTGGGAAAAATAAAGTGGGCTTGGGCAGACAGGCCACATCACTGTTAGAAGGACGACCCTGGTGATGGAATATTCAGGCAAAGGAGAGAGCAGGCAGGCCACATCACTGTTAGAAGGACGAGCCTGGTGATGGAATAGCAGGCAAAGGAGAAAGCAGGCAGGCCACATCACTGTTAGAAGGACGAGCCTGGTGATGGAATAGCAGGCAAAGGAGAGAGCATGCTCGAGAGGACTATCACAGGAATGAGGCGATGAGCTAAGCTCATTTTCCGGCATGAGATGAACTTTGGCATCGCAGCGCCATTTGGTAATGGCGAGAGCCCGAGATAGATTTTCATTCAGCAGTGAAAAGACCGTACCTAATGATGGTAATGATGTACATCACTGCCAATAGAGTATCTTATTTTTGTATGGTGTAATAAATAAAGTGCAACTGTGTACACATTGGCGTGCGCACACACACCTACATGCAGTATTCCTGTTCTACTTTCCAGCACATCTCGATTGTGAGCTATTCTAAGCTGTTGTGTTCTGCGAGCCTTGCCCGGCATCAACATGTGCCATGATGCAATGCGGGCAGCAAAAAGAAGTTTCTAGAGGGGTGGGGGGGGGGTAGGAGACCGACCAGGGACCACAGTGGGAGTCTGTGGGTGGGTGGGTTAATGGGTGGGGGAGCGAGGCCTTCACCCTCAAATCTCATCCCAGTCGCTTGAAAAATACAACCCACGCAGGCAGCCGTCATGTGATATCCCGGCATGGTCGTGACCACGCTCCACGGGCATCGGAAGCAGTGAGGCCATCCCTGGAATTTAGTCCATGGGCTAGAACAGAAATCGGTACCACCCAGGGTAAGAACGATTTAGTGCTACCGATGTATTTGTACGACCAATACGAGTGATTTATTTGACAACCTCACTCATTTCAGAATCAGAATATGTATTTATACCGGAGGAAGCTGATGAGCTATAAAGCTCTTTTTCACAGATGTCCAGTAGATAACCATCATAATTGGACACAAGAAAATTGGAAACGCGAAAGTCATGCCACCTCAGGTTCCGTTGGGTTTAATGGGACAGGTAAAACACATTGGGCAATAGTACTTATTTCGATGGGGACCTGGTTACACTTTTGGAAACCTGGCTACAGCCAAAAAAACAACACGAACAGAACAATAAAAACGACGACTGGAGATGGTGAAGTTTCGAAATGGCAAGGCCGTGCATCAACGTGGCACGACACGTGGTGCGTTGTATCGGTGAGGCCCCTTCACCAGTGGACGTTTCAGGATTTGTACCCCCCTGCAGTTTTATGAATTGTCAGAGTTGAAATCACGAATTAAACCGATTTTAAGAATTGATTGCTTTTTTCCCCATTGTTTGTACCATTTCGTTTACCCAGGGCACTCTTGTAAATGAGATGCAGCCTGGTCTCTTGAGTTCTCATCTCGTTAAATAAATTAAACTTTATACTTGTACTGCCTTTTCTCGTACACTCAATATGGTTTTGCCTTGCGTATAATTTCCATATAATGTCGATAAATCGCATATCAATTAATAGATGCATGATTTGTTGCTTGCATCACGAGCGTAAGAATTAATTTCACAAATGGGTGAATCCTCGCACGCCGAGTGGCCAGCCAGTTGAGAAAGCGCAAGTTGGAATTGTACCGATTAAAAAACCATTCATGTTTATATCTATCGATCTATCTCGGAAAGCCTCATCGCTCAAGTAACCACCACGACCCACACGGGGTGGAGAAGCCCTTCATTCAACAAAAGGGGCACCACATATTCGGTACATCATTTATCCTGACAATTATGACATTAGGTTCTGGCAAGTTGCAGTTTCGCAGCGCAAGACCCCAAGCACCAGCACCCTGCAGGAGATGCACTCACAATGGGATGACGTCTTGGCTCCTCACCAGCTGTAGGGAACATCTTATGATTGTTTGAATGGGGAAAAAGTGTCCGCGTAAACTCACGCTCGTCAGCCACATGCACTTGATATTCCAAACGTGACTGCGGGGTTTTTGCACGGTTGGTGCGCTTGGTGAGTGGGTGTCAGCCATCCGGTCTGTTGGGTTTTGGAGTGATCTCGCCTCAACGGGAAAACAGAAACAAAAGGAAGACTTTCGTTTCGTTGTGCTACGTGCGGTTGGGAATAGAGGGCTCTGTGGATGTGTACTTTGTGCAGTACGTATATGTTTGTTAATGCATTAACATGAGAAGGTGAAGCGGTGGTTTGCGCACTGTCCTACGAAACCGGCAGTCTGAATTCGATTCCTGGCCAAGGTTTACGTCAGTGGCGAGTCATTTGTGAACAGGTTTTGGACCTCCACTAGGTTGAGTCAGTCTTAAATGAGTACCTGGTGTGTGTAAACGTCAGCATTATGGAGACAAAGGCCGTGATGCTAGCCTCACCATCAGGCTAATGAGGGTTTATTGTGCGCGGTGGTGCTTGGATGCTGCACCTGCCAGTCACCCTCTGTGTGTTGTGGCCTTCGTAACCTGGGGCGTGGGCCCTCTTTGCAGGATTAGGGGTGTGTGGCCTGCACTGGAGCCCACCATCCCAGAAAGGTTGAGAACCACTGGTGTAAGCAGTTTGTGTATTCAACACCCTAACCCCTAAGCAACTGGCCAACCAGCCACTAGTGATAGCCAACCAGCCACTAGTACCAATGAACCAGCCACTATTACCAGCCAATCAGCCACTAGCACCAGCCAACCAGCCACTAGTGATAGCCAACCAGCCACTAGTACTAATGAACCAGCCACTAGTGATAGCCAACCAGCCACGAGTACTAATGAACCAGCCACAAGTGATAGCCAACCAGCCACTAGTACGGACTCCCCCAGTGGCCCTAATGGGGCTAAGGTGTATGCAGTTATTGGTAGTGCACGCTTACCAACCACATGTTATCGCTACACATCATTGTGATCAACTAATCAACCAACTCCCTCCCGCCTAACCCCCCTCCCCAACTCCGAATCCTTACTGAAGGCGGCGACGGCGAGGGCGAGCGTGATGAAGATGGACAGCCACGAGATGACGAGCGCCTTGCGCCGGTAGTTTTGCGCCTCCTGCGGCTTGAGGCGTTGGCTGCTCTCCAGCAGCCCTGCACGGCACCGCCGAGGGAAACCGCCACACGGATCAACAACCATGGCACAGATCAACAACCATGGCACAGATCAACAACCATGGCACAGATCAACAACCATCGCACGGCTCCACCGAACAGAGGAGGGCACCGCATCGCGCTCTTTCAGATGCGCTTCTTCTGCGGCCGTCTGGAACGCTCATTCCTTCCGATATTGCGAAGCCACTGGGAGTTGTGCACCTTTAAATCATCATCATCATCATCTAGATTGACAAACTCAATTCTCTAGAAATGCTTCTTGTGTTTAGTTTGGTTGTCCTTTCCCCGCACCTCCGATGAGCGCGGATGGCTACGTACGGTGCGAAAGGAGTTCAACGAACGTACTGTGAAAATAATAACAAGTCAGTACACGCAGGACCGGATTAAGCCAGAGGCTAATAAGGCCTTTGGACCTCATGTTTTGTAGGCCCTCATGTTTTGTAGCCTCTGCTTTAGGCTCTCCATTCCATGTTGAAGTTAAGCGACGGTAACGCGACCATCGGAAATGTTGAAGTCTTAGAATGACGACATCATTCATGACTTTGCCACAGGAGCTAAATCTAGGGGGGCATGGAAATGTTAGAAGACATGAGTGTAGTGAGTGATGTATGTTTGATGATTTTCAACCTTGAGTCGAATACCTTTTTAAATATATTTTATATATAATATTTGCAACATGTTAGACTGCATACTCTGAGGCTCTTCCTATGATGCTGAGGCCCTCAAACCAACTCAGACTCTGTGTCCACGGCATTGCTGCTTTGCATTGAACGCCGCTCCCCCGTCTAAAGTCACGGCGTGCTCTGGCCAACGACGTCTGGTAAACCAACAGCATTTGTTGAACAAGGCCGACTGCTGATGAGACCAAAAATGTCGAAACCGGTGTAGAGTTTTCTTGCCTTAAACGAATTCTGCTGGCTAATATTGGCCTGCAAAGCCAATAGGCTGATGGCCGAATATATGTACGTGTAAAGACAATTAAGTTCTGCTTATACAGTATACTGTATGCCAATAAAATTAAGAGTTCCCGCACAGCCCATAGTACCTTATTTCGTTTATAAGACGCACTCTCGTTCCTGTATTTGAAATAGCAACTTGGACAAACGTATTATATTCTGGTAGGTGTGTGTGTGTGACCAGATTTATGTAACGTTACTGATACTTGGGCACGAGTTTGAGGTGCGTCTTACTTGCCGGAGCATCTGATAATCCAGAACACACGGTAACCTCACGAAGGCCATGTCAACAGCAGAGGGCAGTGCATAGTAACCCCGGTTGTGCTGTATTTCTATGCTTCCACGTCCATGCTTCCTGGTCCTCAGCGGCCCCCACTGACCAGCGTGGTGAAGTATGGTCAAATGACCATCACGCGACCAACACGATTTCCGGAGGCCCTCGTCCAGCAGTGGAGTGACATTACACCGTGCACGTAAAGAAGTGGGGTTTCCACCTCTCCATTATAACAAGATATGTACGAAAGTGGCGTGCTTCAAAGTAATTTCCTAATGAATGGGTGCTTGGGATGAAGGTTGTCAAATGACCCAAGCTGCTTAAGAGCCAAACAGTCTCGAATTATGATGCACACGTTGTACCACAACTGCAGTTTGATGAGATGTCACGATTCGCTTCAAAAATAGATATATATTTTTAGGTAAAAATTTGGCGTTACCAACTATTATTGGCAGTGGTGCACAAATAAGTAAATATATAGGTGATCATTTGAGTAATGGCCCTTCAATGCACATGAATGAGATAATATATGCTGGGATATTTTTTGTCTCTGGCTCATCATGTCTCATCTGTGGCCTACAATCTATTGGACCATAAGCCAAAATTCCATCATAAATTTACATATTCTGCATTGTGATCTTCAGAAAATCATTGGCACGCGACCCGAACAATATATATCATGAGCATAAAAAATAATTTTAATCTATGATCAAAAGGCAATAACCCACAAATTGTCCTGAAAATCGGCTTTTGTTGCCAGGCAGCAGATGAAACAAATAAAAAAGAATCAGTTAATTGTGCAGTCATCCGTGCAGAGATTATCAAAACCGATTATAGAGTGTGCCAATGAGGCTATCATGGGTTGGCTTCATATATATGTGGGTGATAATTAGGATTGTTAAAAAAATTTGCAGTTAACCTGTAACCACAGCAAAAAAACTAAAACCCAGTGGCCTGTCATATAAAAAATATCTGGAGCAAGAAGCATCACAGTTTTTTTTTTTTACCAATAAAACGAAGGGAGCTGCCACGGTGGTGTAACGGTCAGCACACTCGACTCGCAATCCAGAGGTCGCCAGTTCAATGCCATCTTCCGGTACGGCAGTCGGAACAAATGGTGCAAGTTCCAATCATTACTAAAATTACACTCGGAAACGGTTGGCGGTTCCTGACTTTTGTAACCGTTCACCGATTCTGAAAAGGGGTACTGGTTTACCGGATATAGTTGAACAACGGGAGTCATAATGTTTGTCCAGGGCACTCCCCCCCCCCCCAATCGTTACATGCCCCCTCGTCACATCCCCCCTCCCCCCCCCCCCGCGAAATCGTTGCATTTAAATCCACCCAGCACTGGTGGCACACGCCAATGATCCATCGCTGTGGAAACATCAAGGGGGGGTTGTAGCTCACACACACATATGTAAAACTCCATAACCCTCTGACATGTGAGGTGACAGAAAGATGGCAGGACAGCAAGTGGGTTCATGAAAACCGCATGTGCGGACCTTTGAGGGTTGTAACCTTGTGGGTTATCTCTGTGTTCTCCAGATTAGTTCCTGCTTAAAGCACTCCGTTATAAGGAATTGGCCAAACATCATGATGCATGATCTCCCAGACAAATAGTGTTGACACTCACCGATGTTCACCTGGATAACTAAATAGATTACTCTTGATTAAAAGTACACCCGTTGCTAACGAGACTCGGAGAACTGGAAACCCATCCAGCGGTTGCCTCTTGGAAACGTTTATCAGGACGTCCATTGGCTGATGGGAGTTTTTTATTGCAATTAAACAAATTATTCCTGGTTTATTATGATTCTTTTTTGTGACCACAATCTAATAATACAGCACACGATGTGTTTTCTAAAGTTTGCTATTGCAAAAAAGTTTGTAGATTTTTTTTGTGCGGCGGTGAAAATGAGTCGTTCGTTGTTTCCAAGTCAACAGTGTTGATCGCGTTGATGGATTAGATCTTGCCATGGGAATGTGGAATTTCCACCACTGGGTCAGAATGCTTGTCTGAGCAAGGAGACACTAGCTATTGAACCATAATAATCATTATTATTCAGTTGATTTAATTAAAATAGCGACACAGATAACTCCATGCGCATTCACACATTTTATATTTGTACCACCTCACGTCATATAATAAATTACGTCATCCTATGTAAGCATGTATGTTGAAATTGGAGACTTCGTCAGAATTCTCCACATTCTTTTGATGATGTTTTTAAACATTGGTAAACGCTAAATCATACGCTGTGCTGGGGCAGGACAAGTGAGGTTTCGGTAATCATGAACCACAGTACGGTAATGTTACAGCATAATAGCGTTACACCATAATAGCGTTACACCATAATAGCATTACACCATAATAACATTACACCATAATAACATTACACCATAATAAAAGACGACATGCAATGTATCCTGTGAATCCAAAGCAGTTATTCAACTTGTCAGTACCACCTGCTTACACTGCGCCTTAGTGAGCCACAGCACTGCGCTGTCGACTGCTTGAGTTACCCCCCCCCCGCCCCAGGCACCTTCAGCACTGCGTCCCCGTGATTCAGTTTGTCAGCATCACGGTCTTCACCTTTCTTGACCTTTTCCTCGCGAGAATTTCTGAGAAAGTCCTACTCGGAAGGATTTCCGGGAAAGACTGCCCGGCCTGATTTGTAATCAAAACTTTTACCGACTTGAGTTGTCCACCGAATTACACTTCAGGCCGACTCGTGGTGGACTTACTTAGCTGTCCGTCAAACCTTGGTGTTCGTTGTAAATTTTTTAACGGGTCTATAAATCACAGGTGGTGTTTGTAAACGCTGCCCACTGCAAATGTTATTACATATGTAGTCGCTACCAGGCTGACACACGCACAAAGGTCTGCCAATGTGTCCTGTCCACGACAAAAATATTAGCACACTTTTCAACAATAACAACAAATGTTATAAAATTACGATTCTTAATTCTGTTTTCAAAATGTTCCGCATGGTATTTTTTATGTGCACGTTTGTGTTTGTTTATACGTCGTGTAATTTGCTGTTTCACATTACCAATGTGAACCAGGTCTCCTCTCAAACGAGATTTTTGGTCCCAATGTGCTCTCAGCGGCTAACAAAGATCTGCAATTACAGGTACGGCATCACCCTACCACACGCGCCATCGCACCCCATCAGCACGGCAGCTGAGACGATGGACAAGGCCCTCAAGTCCACCTCAATCCACCCACCAGGTCGCGTGTGGTGGAGTAGAGTGTGGGCATTCCCACCTCTCCCAAGACATCTCTAGAGTTCCGTCTAGCGCAGTGTTCTTTATCGTGCTGCTGTCAAACCCCCAACCCCCAATGGTTTAAAATTTGTGGCGGCACTCACGCTGATGATGTCTTATCGGCGTTAGTGCCCCCCCCCTCTCAAAATGAGTGAAGAACACTGGTCTAGCGGATGGCCTTCCGCCAGCAGTGGCGTGCGTAATCTAATTTTCATGCAAATCTTGATTTGAAACTTTCGTGACTGCAGGAATCCATACTCTTTGGTTCTTTCGGTAAAGTCACGTAGGTATAAAATAAAATAAATCACGACGTTTCGGGCGCAACACAAGCGCCCGTCATCAGGTGGGAAATCTTGGTCTGCTGCTGAGGCAGACTGTTTTAAAAGGTTTGAAATGGGTGTAGCCCAAGGGTCATAAAGAAGTGGCCGGGGCTAGTGATGTTAATGTGAGAAATTAGCACGTAACTGTAGAAAATAAGGAAAGCAGCCTCCTCGTCGAGGGCACGGAAGTAGCTATGTTAATGTGGGAGATTAGCATGATGTTAACGTGATAATTAGCATGATGTTAACGTGATCAATTAGCATGTAACTGTGGAAAAGGAGAGCGGCCTCCTCGACGAGGGAGTGCAACCCAACGGGTGCAATCGAAAGGGCCTGTGAGCATGAGAGTGCAATCCAAAGGGCCTGTGAGCATGAGAGTGCAATCCAAAGGGCCTGTGAGCATGAGAGTGCAATTCAAAGGACATGTGAGTATGAGAGTGTAATCCAAAGGGCATGTGAGCATGAGAGTGCAATCCAAAGGATATGTGAGTATGAGTGTGTAATCCAAAGGGCATGTGAGTATGAGAGTGTAATCCAAAGGGCATGTGAGTATGAGAGTGTAATCCAAATGGCATGTGAGTTTGAGAGTGTAATCCGAAGGGCATGTGAGTATGAGAGTGTAATCCAAAGGGCATGTGAGTATGAGAGTGTAATCCAAAGGCCATGTGAGTATGAGAGTGTAATCCAAAGGGCATGTGAGTATGAGAGTGTAATCCAAAGGGCATGTGAGTATGAGAGTGTAATCCAAAGGCATGTGAGTATGAGAGTGTAATCCAAAGGACTTGTGAACATGAGAGTGTAATCCAAAGGACACGTGAATATGAAAGTGCAATCCAAAGGCATGATAGTGCAATGCAGCGGACATGTGAGCATGAGAGATCTAAGAGAGAGGCATAGAGAGACACAGAGAGTCGAAATAACAGCTCACATAGGCAGGTAGGATGGAAACATCACAGTCAGTAAAGACTTTACCTGGTTAATAACGTCCTTCCAATGATTGCTCAGTTTGTACCCATCTTCTCGATTGAAGTTATGTCTGTTTTTATATATCTGGATGGCTTCATGAACAAATCACTGAAGGTAGCCGGTAGGTTTGCAGAGTACCTCCGTCTTGGAAAAATCAATTTCGTGTGAGCCCACAGCGTTAAAACAATGATCGGCAACGGCAGGGGTAGTGGTCCTACCGTGTTTCAGATCTGCCTTGTGTTCACGGACGCGTTCGGAGACCAATGCAGGTGTGCACCTTCACCTCCTTCGTATATGCAATGTCCGGACCACACTCACAAGGTGCTCGCGTGAGTGGAACTGCGCGCTGCGCTGTGCACCCGGTGCGTAACGTGCACTCACCGAGTCTCTCCAAGCTCTCCTCCCCAAACAACCGCGCTCTGCTATCGCCACTTTTCAGCATCATGGTGCCAGGTGCACGCGCCGCCGCTGGAGTCTCCTGATTGCTTTGTCCTCAGAGCCCGTAGCTCGCTCGTCGCCGTGGCTGCCGGCGGCGCCAATCCACAGCCGCTCACGCGGGAGGCTTGGCCGGGTTGGTCTCGAGACAACGGGCTGCCTCCCCGTTCGTGGGCCCCGTGTCGGGCGCCACGAAGCGCAGAGATGGCACCGGCGAGAAGATGAGTGAATCGCGGGGGGCGGGTGGTGCTGATGTATTTATGTAAGTTGCTTACTTATTAATTTATTTACTCGCTTGCTTACTCTTCTTGTAACCGCCTCGCAGCGTTTGTGTACTTATTAAGTTTGAGCGCGAGCAGGGTGGGGGGGGGGGAGATATTATTGACACCCGGGCTCCAAGAATTTCTCTTCGGGGCCTTGCACCAACGAGCGAACAGCGCTTGCCACGCGCGCACAAATTGCATTCCGAATCGTTCACTCCGGCGGCATGGACCTATCGCACGGGGGTCACTGGATCCAGCTCCACCGAGTGACGCACTCACAAAGGTCGTCTCTGCCGCTCTAATTGCTGCCTTGCTGCACTTCGGCAGAAGCGGAGCTCCTCTTTGGGCACGAGCCTTTAGCTCCCCAATGGTTTTTTTTCGGGTTGTTAACGATCCCTGAATGTGTCCGGTCTGGTCAGATCTCAAAAGCTAAACGGAGTTGACCCTCATTAGTACTCGGCAGACAACATGTGCCTGCGAACAGCACGTCTTGTATAATGCTTGGGTGAGCGAGATGCCCAGGAGATGTGAACATACAGATGTGAATTATCAAACACAATTTCAAATGTATTTTGTTTAATCAGGTGGGAAAGTTTAATTTGTAATTAGTGACCTGGGGCATTAGTCTACCAATTTGGACCCTAATGCCCGCACGCAAAACGAAGGGCATAAGGGGATCTTTAACGCCCGCTGTTAAAAATGCTTTTGAGAACTGCTTTTTGTCTTTAGTGTTCTTACCCGCCGAATGGCTACGTCCGGTGCGTGTACACGCGGCGTGTGTCATCTTCTCATGGCTCTTACACCGGCAGCAGCAGCAGTGGCAGCAGCAGCAGTGGCAGCAGCAGCAGTGGCAGCAGCAGCAGTGGCAGCAGCGGCAGCAGCAGTGGCAGCAGTAGCAGCAGCAGCAGTGGCAGCAGCAGTGGCAGCAGTGGCAGCAGTGGCAGCAGCAGTGGCAGCAGTGGCAGCAGCAGCAGTGGCAGCAGCAGTGGCAGCAGCAGCAGTGGCAGCAGTGGCAGCAGCAGCAGTGGCAGCAGCAGCAGTGGCAGCAGAAGTGATGAGGGCAGCCGTTGGGTTCTAAGTGGGAACCTCTGAAACAAGCGGCAAACGCGCTGCTGCTGGGCCACATTACCACCTTGTCAGTGTCGAGCTTTGTTCTGTGTCTGTGTGTGTCTGTGTCTGTGTGTGTCTGTGTGTGTCTGTGTGTGTCTGTGTGTTTTCTCCGGCTGCTCCCGTTTTTCCTCTCACGTGCGCCACACTCCTCAGTGGAATTGGCCAAACGTCTCGGCGTAGCAGGACGCCTCCTGACAAAAACATGAAAAAGAGTCTCGAGACCGAGGCTTTCCTGGGTTAAATAAAGGCCCCGTTCTTATAATTTACCACGACAGCGGGCCTAAAGTCTCGGCGACTAATTGCTCGCGGATGGAACATATCAAGCGAATCGGAGCTCTCGTCGTAGTGGCAACGAATTCCACATCGCCGCGTCGACTTCTACGACAAAAACAGTCGCGCGACGCATCACCGCAGGGGTGTGGCGGCGCAGCGGGGGAGAGGTGGCGGGGTGCTGGTGATGGATGTGGCATGGAGAGAGCCCCACCACCACCACCACCACAGCCACCAGAGTTATATAACCACGAGCACGCCGTTTATCATTACTAACACTCACAGCTACTCACTGCATGGTGGGGAGGTTCGTTCCCGTGACTTTCAAACACCTTCGGTGGGGGGGGGGGGGCACGCTCGGGTTGCTGATAGTAAACTTTGGTCACGCGAGAGGTCTGCATGCAATTATTGACGGTGTTGCTCAGAACTCCTTGAAAAGACAACAAATGACTGAGTGTGTTAACATTCATAAAACAGCGATGTTGTCAGGTAGGAGACATTCCCCTCTAAGAGCCGATGAGTGCGGCCAAGGTGCTTGCAGTGGCAGGTTAGCTATTGCCTACGGAGGTTTTTTTAAGTGGTAGAGCCTCATGGGGCCGTCTGGAATGAACTCCCGCCACCTCGTATAAGGAAGTCGCACTGTCTTGCAGAGGCCTGCAGCTTCGGAGAAAATTGCAATATATCTGACGAATATTCACAAGGTATTATACCCGACACATGATACAAGGTTGTACCCTGCACATAACGTCGTACTCAAATAGTACATGTTGTGGGTTTACTCTTCAACACACGGGTGTGCTAAACGAGTAACTAATTGCCAAATTTTACTAATTAGCTGTGTCGGGTGGTGGCGGGTTTAACGACACACTTATATTTACGCGATCTTACCCAAAACATCCCTCTATAATGGATAAGAAACAGGATAAAGGCCTCCCCATGCAGAGTCGGTCGTGGGGGTGGGGGGTTGTGTACCAATACTTCCACACGCGCTGGCCACGTGCGAGTTCGTGCATGAACGGGTGCTCGGGAACCGATTCATGCGTCACTGCCACTGGAATTAGCCCAGCTCGGGATGGAACTCGGGTAGCCGGGTGCGTAGCTCATTGCAATAGCCACTGTGACAGCACTCCTCTTATACATGTCGATATGCACCCCATACATGAAAGTATGGGTGACCTCATTCAAAGTCGACGAAGAGATCTGGTCAAAGATAACATTGGACATATTTGGTGGCGGGGTGGGGGGTGGGAGGAACACAGCTTGGCTTGATGATGAATTCCGACTGATAGACAATGAACTCCCCCTGCGGGGAAACTTCGAGACGTGCAACAAGTTCTTCGCGTTGATCGTTCGCACCCACGGGCCCGTGCCATTTGGCGGCACTCTCGCCCCGTCATCGCTCGCCAAGAGAGCCACCGGTGCGTAAAGTTCCCTGTCGGTGCGAATCATTAACCCCCGAAGCGCATCGTCCAAAACTCCCAGCATCACAAATCCCCGTCCCATTCATGGCGGCCGCAAGCAACGCGGACGTGAATCGTCGAGTGAAGCAGCAGAATGTGGTGGGGTGTGCGAGGTTTGGCAATGTGCAAGTGCACATCTGAGACAATGAACACACAATGACCAGCGTGGTGAAGTATGGTCCATCAACCCCAGATGGTCGCCGCTGAATGGGGAGGACTTCATCCAGCAGTGGGTTAACGAAGGGCTGACCGTTATTAGTGTGATCGCTGTGCTTACATAGTGAACATGTGCTCAGCAGTGAGATATCCAGGACGATCCATTTATATATACCCCACTGTTTTCGAACGATCCCCTCTTTCGATTTAAAGCTTTCGTGACTGCAAGGATTCATCCTCTTTGGTTCTTTCGTTAAAGTCATGTAGAATGAGAATAAAATAATAAATTGATAAAATAAAATAACACAATAACACAATAAAATAACACGCTCCAGCGCTGTCCTCCAGACAGTCTCGTCCCTTCACCTGATGAAGGCCGCTTGTGTTGTGGCCAATACGTCGTGAGAATTTTATTGTGTTATTTTATTTTATCAATTTATTATTTTATTCTCATTCTACGTGACTTTACCGAAAGAACTAAAGAAGATGATCCCCTCTTTGTTTTCGTCTCAATGGCTGATTGAATATTGCGAATGCCGTGGCTCCGTATCTTAGAGAGGAGAGCGTTAGAAGGCTGAATACGTGAATTGAGATTGGTGGGAAACGTGTGGAGGTGTTTAAACAACAAGTTATTTTCTACATACCTTAGCGGGGTACCTATAAATTAATCACCCAGCATATATGTAAACACAACGTTGAGTGCTGTAAACTGTCAGGAGCACACGGCAAGAAGCGGCCTGTGTTAGGCGTGAGGATTCACTGCCGCAGAGATGTGTTGGCCTGTGTACATGTCCCGCATGGTGCGTTTAGCAACCATTAGGCACGTGCAGCAGCAGCGTGTACATCGGTGAACTGGGAAAGACGCATTGTGTGGTGGGTGGGTCGCGAGGAACTTGGGCTTGGGGGAGTCCCTGGTTGACTGCGATGAGACGGCTGCGCGAGGCACCTGTTTGGAGCCACTCGGGCCCATCCAGGTGCTGAAGGGGGTCCAGGGTGAGCCCTGGCTGGGGTTTGCTGCCCGCCTCTCCCTTGGGGCCCTGCCCATTGCTCTGGACGGCAGCTTCCATCGCCTCCCGGAGCTGTGGAGGCATGGAACAGAGCGCTGAGGGGTCCGGTCTGCGGTGAGCTTCTTCATCTCACGCCAACTTGTCCGTGCAGCCTCCCATGAGAGAAGGGCTGGTGACAGCAGCAGCACCATCAGCACCTCGGATTACCACGCTTGGCTACGTACGGTGCGACGAAAGTTGAAAATGCATACGTCATAATCATATACTGCATTTCTATCACCTGCAATGACAAAACGCGGAAGCGGACCTCACTGATACTGGAACTGCAGCCATGGCGTGGCCCTGCCGAGACTATTTTACAGTGTTTTATTTTATTTTCCATCATTCATGCTCTACTTTGCTAACCTCTGGATAACGTGTCTGCAGCAATGAAACAGATAACAGGAGAGCTGCTTGGAATATGGCTACTCGATCCAAAAACAATCAGCAGTGAACCCTGTCTACACGATCATATAACCACGCTGCATGTGGAATAACATAACGTAACTTCACAGAATTGACACTAATGTATATTTCCAACTGTTCGTACATGAAAGTCTCCCCGAATCTCAAAGCTCGTTTTGCTGGATTGTCCTGTGTTTGTGATGTCTGTCCAATACGTTATCAATTGTTTGGATATAAGCGACACAATGTAAGCGTATGGTAATATATATATTTAGCAAAATAAACAATGTTTCCTTCACATATGAGTCTTCAGGTAAAAACAACTAATTCTTACACAACCCATCCGCCAAACGGCCTCCTGGAAGTGTGTAATTTCAGCAGCATTTTTTTTTCAAAAACAAGCAACACTCTGGACCGGTATCAACACTTCAGCATTGAATCAATGCTGGTGAACTGCCGATGTTACAGGTGAGGACCCTCTCTTTACTCCCAGAGGGCCCTGCGGCCGATGGGGTTGTGTAAAATCGATCGTGGGGTTTGTGACGGTTTTGGTGCCGCGGTCTCACTGTTGTCGCTTGCGGCCGCCGCTCGTTTTGCCTCGACTCGCGGAACACCATCGGCCTCACTGCCGTATTAACGAAGAGCGGCTACGAAGCCCTCGACTTCGCCAGGTCGCTCGACATTTCACGTGCTCGCTGATAAAGATGAATTGCACCGTCGCTGACAGGCGGGGAACGCGATGTAACCGCGGCACCAAGAGGCGGGGGGGGGGGGGCTTCAACTGCTAAAGAGGAGGAAGACGCTTGAACACGTACCAGGCTTTCGCGACCAATGTCATTCATAATCGAAGTGTTTTTGCGTTAGATCGTATAAATATAAATGTTGTGTCGTTAAACCAGCCACCACCCGACACAGCCGACTAGTAAGGTTTGTCACGAAAACAGAACATGCCAATTCGTTACGAGTACGGCACACCGGTGTGTTGGAGAGCAAATGCACAACATTTACAATCTTGACTCTCGCACACCAAGATTGTAAATGTTGTGGCTTGGCTCTCCAACACACCGGTGTGCCGTACTAGCAACGAATTGGCCACGTTCTGTTTACGTGACAAACCTTACTAATCGGCTGTCGGGTGGTGGCGGGTTTAACGACACATTTATATTTACGCGATGTAACCCAATAAAAAACAACCTACATTAAGGAGGAAGACGCGTAACACCGCCTTGTGATCTTTCCATGGGAGTAATAAAGTAAGCAACAACGAACACTGAACTCGATCGCTCTCGTGACGTCCCTGTTGTGCAGCTGATGCGATGGTGCAGGCACGG